CATTGTTTAGGTTGTGTCCGGCCTTGTTTATATTTACAGTATATAAATTTTGTTTAAAGAACAGTTAGAAATGAACCTGATTCATTGCAAAGTTGACAAGTTAGTGTTACTAATTGTAATTAATTCTGGGGCCTCTTTCCCGAAATAAATCTCTATTCGTATGAAGTATCCTCAATTCTAATTGTGATAAATAATATGGGCCTAATAATATTAGGCTCAGACACGGAAAAGGCACTAAAAACAATGCTTGGAAATATTAATTTGTGGTTGCCCCGGTCCTTAATTAATTCACCTTTCTCTAAACTCTGCACAATAAATCAATTATCCGTATACCTGTCCTGGCAGGTATAGAAAAAAGCCTCTTAATTCTAATATATATNCCTGTAGTGGCACTATAAACATCCACAATTGCCACATTTAGACTAAAGAAAATTCCCATGTGCTCCAACAAATTACTTCGCATGTGCCCAAAGTGCCCTTTATGGTGGTTTATAATGATATAAATCGCATATTTTTGAATTTGGCCAATAGACCTGTCCTGGCAGGTATAGAAAAAAGCCTCTTAATTCTAATATATATATATATATAAATCTAAATATTGATAACTATAAAGCATTAGTTGAAAGTATTTACATACCTGTATGAATCCTGAAGTGCCCTTTCAATTGCCCTTTGTTGTAGAAGCTTTTATTACAGAAATAACAGACATAACGTTTCACTTTAAAGTTAACGGGTATACTTTTTAACCAACGATAAGATTCTTTTAAATTTGTACGAGATTGCAGCTTAGTTCTGTGATCATCCCACGGACGAAATGGTTTGTAAGCTGCCATTTTTTTTTTTGAAGCTACTACAGTTATTACACTAAAGAATCTTCTATATATATATATATACACACACAAATACTGTATACAGATCTATATACAAGTATGTGTGTACCATCGATATATACTGACAATGAGGCAATCAAGGTTTGTAAATTTGTACTTGTCAAATCCTGGAGTGTATCTCCTTGGGTGGTTTTTCTTTATCACAGATTTGTTCACTCAGGTGTTTAAGGTTTAGTCTGAAATTTGTTGTTCCACCCACGAATAAACGGTTTGCGGAGGAATGAAGCCATTTATATTATTATATTTTTTAAAAAAATGGCCGCTGTTTAGAGGTTCAATTGTAGAGATTTGTAATTTTAATCAAGCCATTAAATGCCACTATTTTATAATAAAAAAAATTTCAATTTTATAACATATAATGCATCATTTACTGTAAAGAAAATTTATGATGATTTCTCCAACCTTGGGTGTTCACCTCTTTGACAAACTTAACAAGTATTGAAGTGTCACTAATTTCATCTGTGATTTATGTCTTTTCTCAGCAGGGATTTTGTAGTTGTGAGGCCAAGATCTTTATCTGTCTGACCCAAAGTTATTAATCTGTATGTTAAATATCTTCTTTGGAAGAAGATAAAGTAATTATAAATCAATATTTTTCAAAAAGAACAGAATATTAATGATTTTCAATATATCAAAACCACCCCCCTTTATAAAGTTTTATATCACAGAAAATTAATCATTACCATTATTCATAAATTAAGTAAAATGATGCATTCTCTATGCAGTAATATATATAAAATTTAACTTAATTTATACACATTGCATTTTTAATGCTTATTTTATGCAATTCAAAATGATAAAATAAATGTATCCAGAGCGGATACACAAGACAATTTTATTGTATTTAAACTAAATAATACTCCTTCATTGTTCGTTATTATTAACTTCCTTCCTTCAATTATCGAATTAAAATAACACATTAGAATAAAAATAGAAATATTTATTTAACACGAATGCGATATTAAATAAGTATTGAAATTTTTTTCTTTAGTTTTAAATGGAAAAATTAAATTAAAAATAGAAGAAGCCACCAATGAGACTCGAACTCACGACCCCTGGTTTACAAGACCAGTGCTCTAACCACTGAGCTATGGTGGCACGGCACCACTTTTCTTTAACTATTACTCTAATACCACCCACGTTAATAAGTTAACGTGTACAAAATCGATATTTCTTTCACTACGATCCATCAATTTGCCTGTGTAAACGTGGCTTACACACTAAGCTAACTTTCTTCTGAACAGTTATATATATATATATTTCATTAATTAATTAACACTACGACAAATTTTAAGGTGTGAATTGACACTAGATTCAGTTTATCGACTGAATTAAAACTTAATAATTTCATTCATTAATTACGTGTAGAGTTTTGAGCCATTTTAAACTCCCCCCTGCTGTCTACAACGATCCTTTGTGTGGCAAATCCCTTTCCATACGTGTATAGGGCGCAACTAAGAGGCCTTAGGAGGCCTTAGTTGCGGCAAGAGGAGAATGGTCTTACTTGTTCTGTATCTGTAATAATGCTTGAATGTTTAAATAAGCTTATAAAAGGTCGTGACCTTTCAAATTTTCGGAACCACAGGAATAAAGTAACGCAACGTACGGACGATCTTCCATGTAAGATTTTCTTTGGAAACTGACCCTTATTTAGATGTTAGAAAGGGAAATAAAACCTGTAAAATTCCTTGCTGCCAACTCGTTGCAGAGGAACGAACCCTCAACCCAATACCAGTGTTCTGTTGTTTAAAATACTCGACCACTGAAGAAACTGGATGTTTAGGGATAAGGGAGCAAGAAGAGGGTAAAAACCAATTTGTCAACTTCAGGTCGAAGAGGTTGCCACTGTTCTCATGGTGCGATCAATAGATAACTCAGCAGGTTTTAGCGGTGCATGCGCTGCTTTAAGTAAGTTGATGTGATGTGACGTATACGGAAAATTCCTCATAAGTTATTGCGTTTTTATTCTTACAAAATCAACCACACCCATTGGTTGCTTTTCGATGACGCAAGAACTGAAAATCAATTCAAATTGGTTCTGATATCATTTATTCGAATGAAGGTAGACCTGTAGTGGCACTATAAACATCCACAATTGCCACATTTGGACTAAAGAAAATTCCCATGTGCTCCAACAAATTACTTCGCATGTGCCCAAAGTGCCCTTTATGGTGGTTTATAATGATCTAAATCGCATATTTTTGAATTTGGCCAATAGAAAAAGCACATTCCTTTAATTTTAATTGTTTTCCTATACTAGGATTAACAGTATTTCATGACGTAGCAAGCATATGTTCCATTAGTCTCATGTGCAGGTACGTTTGTCATATAAATGCAACACTATACATAAAAATAAAATAATTAAAGCATTGATGATGGCAGTAATCTATTATTTTCATGTAATTGTTCGTACAGACACAATGCCACTACAGCAAACAATTCTTCCTGTATACATAATTACCTCATACAACTGTATTTATGTTAATTTAACAGATCATTTCTTGTAATTATTTACTTTGTATCGATAATATTTCTATACGTAGGCCTCCTAACTAGTTTTCTCCTGCATACTAGGGCCTCAATTGGGCAAAAAGGTGCACGAGGCATGAGCTGAAGCCTCTCGGATGTAGAGTCACAATAAAGTTAATTTTTAAAAATAATTTTTAGCTTCATAAGCATTGTTATTTATTGAAAATGAATATAAATATTTTTAACAAAAAAAAAAAAGGAACAGATTATTAATTATTCACAGACACGCTTCGACACAATATTTTCTCGTCGACTCGTTATATAAAGATTGTTTAAATGAAACCTTCCGTGTCAATAATGTATAAGTAATGCCGATACGGCCTGTTTGTCTGTCTGAATTTAGTGTATATATATAACTGAAAGAAAAAATATAAGAAATTATAAGTAGGAAGATCAGATAGTGATGAAGCAAGTAGGACCATTCAGCAACATTTAATATTTTATGTAAAAAAAAAAAATGTAACAGGAAAGTAATACAAATGAATTTTTATTGATACGTGATGTTTTACTGGTTTTATTCATACATTTTTATTGATTCACGTTTGCAACTGATCTAAGGATCATCTCACCTGTCTCAAACACTGATTGCTGATCGTGTTTTATAAAAGTAAAAATTGTAATTAGCAGAATTGTACGTAAAAATAGCAATTTTATGTGTATAATATTACATAATCACTAAAAAAATTAAAGGTGATTACTATTATAGAGAGAAGAGAGAGAGTGTGAGGGAAAGAGAGAGAGAGAGAGAGATGAGGGAGAGAAAAGGGGAGAGTGAGAAAGGGAAGGAAGAGGGAAAAGAAGAAAGGGGAAGAGAGAATGAGAAATAGAGAGAGAAAAAGGGGATTTCCCCCTTTTTCTCTCTCTATTTCTCAGAGAGAGAAAAAGGGGGAAGAAAGAGAGAGAAGTGGGAAAAGAGGAGGGAAGAGAGAGAGAGAAAGGAGGGAGAAAGAGGAGGGAAGAGGGAAAAAGAGGAGGGAAGAAAGAGAAAGGTAAATAAAGAAAGAGGGAAAAGGGAGAAAGAAAGAGAAGGGAGTAAGAGGAGGGAAGAGGGAGAGAAAAAGAAGGGAGGGGAGAGAGAGATACCTTCCATAACCACTGTATATGACTACTGTATAACAACTACTAGACTATATGAGGAGATGATAAATTATTATAAAATTAATTTAAGAATCAAATTATTATTTCAGCAACCCAATAGTATTGTTTTTTTTTTTTTTTCCAAAATTATCACAACAGGGGGAAAAACATCACTATTGGATTGCTAAAATAATAATTTGATACAAATCGAAACAAGAAGCTAAATGAAGAATTAATTTAAGAAAAAAATTAATATATTTAAATATTTTGAATTTTTACAGTGTTTTAATCCGCTTTATAAACTAATAACACATTATATTAGTATAATTTTTTAAATATTACAAATAGTTTATCTATATTAATTTTTATGACATTGAATAGATACTACAGCTACTTTATTTTAAATTCATTCTATTAATTAATTAATGATAATAAAGATTAATAAATATAATATTGGGAAGTTGATGAATATATAAGAAGGATGATAAACCCAGTAGATGGCAGCAACAGTTATGAATAGGCAATAAATAGAAGTGGAGAAGTGTCGTTGATAAAGTGTGTTTAAGTTGAGGATGAGGAAATCAGCGAATGTTGTTATAGAAATGAAAGGAGAAAATAAGGGAGAGAATGAGCGTACGTATGCTTTTTTAAGTTATTTATTTAATTTTCTACATTTTTTCACATTAAAATTTCAATGTTCAGTCCAGGAGAAAGTTATACTTAACTTAACAATATAAGTATTATTTATTAATTTACTTATATAAAGAATAAATACAAATACTTTCGTGATATTAGTGACATTTAAATGTCTTGTTTATCCTATTCAATTTCTCGAAAATAATGGACAATTTTGTTTTTTTCCCCGCCTGTTATTTATTAATATAACAGAGAGAATGTATGAAGATCAGTAGGAAAAAAAAAATGACCTCCCCTAAGATTTTTACATTTTTGGACTCGGGGTGGGGGCTTAAAACATCGAGAAATACAAAAAAAATTAGGGGTTTTTTACCCTTTATACATATGGATGTGTGTACGTGGGGGCACGATTTCGTTCACCCAATTTAAAGCTTAATAACTCCTGTGTCTTTTGTCGAAAATTTCTGAAATTTTGCAGGGAAGTTTGGGTATTAGGGGTATTGATTCTGTTAAATTTTAGTGATTAAAGGTCGAGGTGTTGGCGAGATATAGGAGTCACGTGCCATATCTCGAGTGAGGTCGAACCTAACGAAGATTTTACTAGTTATTAGCATTTACAATTATGTATAAAACTTGTCTATACCATCGAAATTAAGCTTTGTCATTTTATAATAATTTTTTTTTAAAAATATAATATCAAAACAGATGGAGCCACGCGCTTTTTAAATTATTGTTACCGGGAAAGTTACGCAACTCGTTGTTGGAGTATTTTATTATTATTTGTATAAAAGTATGTTAAATTTTATGTTTAAAAGTAAATAAAGTACTTAATAATATAATAAGTTCTACTTCTATTTTCTAAATTGTTAAATTGATTTAAATAATATAATATATTTTTATATTAATAGTTTAGTTATTGACTTCGCCTTACGCAGTACAACGTGTTTTATATATATATATGTATGTAATTTTAGCATAATATTTATGCTTAATAAAGCATAAACATCTTATTATATAGTTTCTTTATAATGACTGGAAACAATTGTGTAACGAAGTGTTGAAAGGGAATTTTTTAAATACTTATAGGGATTTAAATTATGTAATCATACATAAATGTATATACAGTACATGTTAAAAGTGCCAATTTAGATCCAATTTTTACACTAAAATTTGGTTTATTCCTTTTTATACTGTTTCGTAAGAGTGTAATTCAGCATTTTTTTAAAATGAATAATTAATACGGATTTTATTTCTTAATTTTAATGCGATTCGTCAGTAATAAATAAAACTTTACACTATATAATTAAATACATATGTAATTACATAACGTATTTTAAATTGTACAGTATGTGTAATATAATTCATGTATTAAATATCATCTCCCATTCTTTTCTTTGTAAAGTAAATTTTTTTCATTGTGAAATCAATATTTTTATGAAATATTATTTTAATTCTTTGTAAAATATAATTTAATAATAATAGAAGTAAAGTTTAATTAGCATACTTACGGAATTTGTAACTAATTATAAAATTTAATACAAGTGCCGCCATTATTTCTCGCTTCGAAAGATTTAAACGTGGATTTCAAGTAATTACAGCGTATTTTGATTTAGAATTTCATTTTAATTTGCTTATATTATGACGGCAGTTGTATATTTATTAAATATTTGCCTAATTAATTTAGTTGTAGTTCGAGAGGAAAGTGTTATTCGGACGATAATAACGGCGGCTCATTAAGGTGCGGCTCTATTTTACCTGTTTAAAATTTACTTGAATATTTTTACCGTAATGTTTTTGAATTCTATAATAAATAAATTGCAACATTAAAAGAAAATTAATGCAAATCGTATCTTGTATCATTTCTGAGGGACCAGAATCGAATCCGGGAAAGCAGATCCTCAGGAATTTTTCGTGGGTAATCTATCCCGAATATGTCGAGCATCCGGCCTTTCAATTGTGGGCATGGCCGAACCCATAATGGGTATGGAAGAAAAGACACTATTAATGCCCAAAGAGTGGAAGAAATCTTATTCCTACTTCTCCGACGAGTGTACAAAATGTTTGTTAATTGCTATATTATGTAATAATGTGTAATTGTTAATTATAAACCGGTAAATTAAGTATATAATTGATATTGCTATTGAACGGGGTGAAGGTACTCCACTGTACTATAGGAAATTAGATAAAACGTCTTTGAAAAGATGCACGCTCAGAAAAATATTTTAACAATGTATTTATTATTACAACATAATAAAACTTGTAGTAATAATAAACATATAATTTAATGACGTATAATGTAATTACAGTATTGAATTTCGAAAAAAAAAAATATTTTTTAGTTGGTCATTTCCGAGAAATTAACGAGAAGCGCCACGGTGTGACCAAATTGTCAATTTACACGTGACAGAGAATATTTGATTAAATATTAAAAATTTATAAGATATAATTAATTTCTGAACTTTATAATATATAATTTTTTAGTCTTATTATTTTATTATATAAAAATAAAGTATTTTTTTTATAAGTTTATAAAACGTATTCTTATGAAATCTTGGTTTTTAATTGGCTAATCTATCAGTGACGTAAATTAAATAATCGGTTTCAAAAATACAAGCTTAAGCTGACCACGTGAAAGAGGGTGTAAAGTAGTCGATTTCTGATAAGGATTCTTCATGAATTAGCTTTATTATCTGTAAATCTTAGAAGTCATCTGTTAATTATTATGGTAGATACAAATCAAATAAACAAATATTTATTTTGCACTTTGGAATCTCTCAAATATTTAACACCAACTTAACTATGTATGTCAGAGGCCTCTTATTTTGTGCTATTTATTCTGATTAGAGAGCAGTCTCCATTGTATATAATCTATATTTTTTACTTTCATTATCTAACTCAATGATAAATATTATTTTTTAATCATTTGAATTGTGTTTTAAGTTAACATCCAACTAACACTATGGATGACAATTATGTTGGTGAGTGCATGCCTTTTAATATTTATATTTTGATTTGCATATAATGCCAATTACATGCTACATATCTCCTGACTTATATAGAAAACACACCTCATTTTATATATTGCTTGGTATTAGAAATGTATGTATAGGTTTTCATCATGGGATGATGTGTCATATCTAGAGTGGCCAGATGTCTGGCTATTCGCCAGATTGTCAGGCTTTTGACTACTGTCCTCCAACTGGTGTCATCTTGCACCAGACATCGATTGGTCCTCTTTTTGGATTGTGATGAGAACTGTGTACAAAAATAGTTCATGTATTTTTTTAGCAGAAGGTTGCCATTGAGAACAAATCACACAGAAACACTTTTAGTTTTGTTTTTAAATGGCAACTTTATGCTAAGAAAATACATATAGTAAAGAGAACAGCAAGCAACCAAGATCTAAAAATAATTCAGTTGTCACTTTGAATGAATTGAAGAAACTGGTTAACATTTCCAGATGGCCCACGCCACTTTGACCTAGTGTCACTTTGGCCATTTTCTTTGTTAATAATTAAGAGGCCAAAGAATTTCACAAATGTTACAAATTGGTCACAAGTGTTTATTGGACGAGGGCACAGCAGGGATGAAAGGTTTAACCGATCATCTTCAGACTTCGACAGAATTCTCCTTTTAACTGAATGGAAGTTGCATGTGTGGCTGGCGAGGTGGAGGACGATAGTTATTAAAATTTGGAAGCAGACTATTGCTGACCCCTAGAAGAAGAGACGTTTTCTTTGCAAGTTGCTTCAACTAAGTTGCAACGACTGAGTGCCGTGTCTTTCCCGGCTTGCTTGACATCTCATAGACATCACCAAATTTATTTTTCCATTTTTTATTTATATATGTATGTATAAAAAACTGGAATGCATGGGGTGTTGACAGTGTGTGAGGGGGTTACCCCCCAACAGTGTCCACCTTTTTAGGCATTGGGTGATGGCCACCCTAGCCATACCTCATATCTGCTTTATCATCAAGAAATTTACCCATTCATTCTAAACAGTTATAAAATTTAAATTTATTGACTTATTGACGTGACAAATAATAATTAATAACTATTTTACTTTTACTACTATGTATAAGAGAATTTTTTGGATAAAATCTAATTGTTTCGAACCTGAATAGCCCTGTAAATTGGACTGAAAATGTTTGTTCTGTGTGTAAAGTTAGTGCTGAAAAAGTACAAAAGTTGTGTTTGTGTGACTTGTACATAAAGTATTTTCTTATACAAATATATTTAACTATTTTCTTACACATAGAAACAAGAAAATAGTAAAGAAAGAAGTTATGTATCTTTCATTTATATCATTATCTGATTATATTTTGAAGTATAAGCTTTTTTAATGATTAAACAAAAATTTTAGTGTTTTTACATATATATAAACTATTATATGTAGCTTGTTTAGTTCCTTTTTAATTATTTAAAACGTCAGTTTAATTGACTTATTTTGTATTGAAATATAATTCTGTTTATAATGTAAAATAATATGAATCTACTACATATAGAATAATCAAATATATACATATTGTTATCACTTGTCAGGTTTTGGGACACAGTAATTCTGATAACAGTAAAATTATGTAGGCTGTTTTTTTTTTTTTTTTTCAAGCTCCAATGATCCATAAAAAAAAGACAAGTGTAAATAACAAAATTAATTTATTACCAAAAGTTAGATACAAACATGGTTAATTTTTGACATAATCACTGTGAAGATTGAGGAATTTGTCATATCTGTGGATGAGCTTTTCCATCTCCTTGTCATAGAATGTTGTCACCAGTGAATTGAAATTGCCTTAACATCGTTGTTTTGAAGATCATCATTAGTTCATTAGTCTCAAACCTCTGCCCTGCTAGCCATGTTTTCAGTTCAGGAAAGAGGTGGAAGTCTTCACCACATTTAAACATCCAGCATAGTCCTGATTTAGCGCTGAGCGACTTCCACCTCTTTCCTGGACAGGAAAAGTGACTAGGAGGGCAGAGGCTTGAGATTAATGATGATCTTCAAAAAAATGTTAGGGCCAATCTCAAGTTATTGGCGGCAACATTCTATCACAAGGGATGGAAAAGCTCATTCACAGATATGACAAATTCCTCAATCTTCACGATGATTATGTCGAAAAGTAACTATGTTTGTAACTAATTTTTAGTAATAAATTCATTTTTGTTATTTACCCTTGTTTTTGTTTTTTATGGATCATCTGAGCTTGAAAAAAAAGCCTACATAAAATACCAATAAATGTTGTTTATTGAAAGTTTGTTTTTATGCTATTTAGGTAAAGATAGTAATGGGTATTTTTAAACTGTTATCAGCCATTATCAATCAATTGCATATTATTAGGCCAAATGTTGAGACAAGTGGTCTAATAATTAACAATAGTTATCAGTTGCTGTTAGTCTTAACAAATGTTCAAAGCTTTAAGCATTTGTTATTTGTGTACAAGAAAATAGTTTAAATTGTAATTGAAGTAATAATGTGATAGCTGTTTTTGAAGATGATACTGCAAAACAACACTGGAGTATTGTATTTCCTCAGTTTATCTCCAGGGTTCAAATAAACCAGGATTGGAAAGGAAATGCTGAAAAATATATGAAGGATTGTATAGTATAATGTAGTTCAGATTGACCAGTTTCTTTTTTTATTCTATCCATTCTGTGAACTATTGCTCACAGAATGGATAAAATAAGAGAGCCCATTATGGGTTTAGCCAGACCAGTGGGACAGCCAGACAGTGAGAAACAGAACTTGATGTATAAGACAAACCGGGGGTTTTTCAACCCTTCTGAATTTGATCCAGACTCCCCAGAGCAAGAGGTTGACATCTAAATTACCTGGCAATCCAACTAAGATGATTTTGAACTATAATATGTTATTATAACCTGTAACATTTTTAAACCTATTTATCCTTATGTTGGACCAAGTAAGGATAAATAGGTTTTTTAAAAAAACAAATTTAAAATAACCTACAGCCTAAAAGATAGACGGAAAATGAATGTAAAAGATAGACGGAAAATGAATGTAAATTGTGTTTTGAGAAATGTTCGAAGTAAGAACAGGGATTTAAGAAGCCTCTAAATCGAATAGGTAATTTGAAAGAAATTGTATCTTTGAGATGTTTAGTGTATGGAGAATATCCTTTATTCACAAAAAGTTTAAATTGAATTAAAATATGATGTATTTTCAATTGTCATGCTACAATATATCCCAGGAAGTAATGTCAACGGAAGAGGGGCTTGAGCCTGAAACACATCTCGGGAAAATAATAAAAAAATTCTCTAATAAAAGTTGATGACAGAATTGCCAAGTGTCTGTTTAATCACCTAGTAGTGATAAAAAATTATTCAAATCATAAGTTAATTGTACAGGTTTTGAATTAACTAGAGATAAGATTTCATTAGTTTAGATTTCTCATTTGGGAACATCCATTAATTAAGTGTGCAGTTTTCGATTCACTCCCCCCCCTCTCTCTCTCCCTCCTTCCCTTGTTATATACAGTGATGTATTTTTAGCAAATTCTCTTCCTTTTAATTATGGTGTACAATAGTTCATGGACCCCAATATTGAAGACTTGAAAAAATATTTATCAGGTTTAAGAAAGTTCTTCAATTTATTTACATGTCTAGTACAATGTTTATAAGAACAAATTCATTTACTGTTAACGCCAATAAAAATGTCTGAAAACATTGTCTCAATTCCTTTCCCATCCCCTTTTTACTTAAAATCCCCTTCTCTCTTAAACTGTACATGTAATTAACAGATGGCCCTTATTCTGAATATTATTTTTAAAAATATTTTTTAATATTTAAATTTTTTTTCTATAGATTGTAATGAAGAAGTACCTTTACAAGATGAAAACAGCTATAGTCATCATTTCAGAAAAATGGTTAAATCATTTTGTAGAGATTGCTGCTCTGTTAAAACTCTCAAAAAAAGAATACCAATAATCAGTTGGTTACCAAATTATTCTTTAGCATATTTGAAAGGTGATGCGGTAGCTGGTTTGACAGTTGCTTTAACAGTGATTCCTCAAGGATTAGCACTTGCTCAAATTGCTCATCTGCCTCCTCAGGTATATATTTGTCAATTCCTAAATAACACGAATACATGAATTTGTATATAACTGTATTTATTTTATTAACGCATTTGTAATCATAGTTCATATTTATTCAATAGTTTGTGTATTTAAGATAAAAATTTATATACATAAAGTTTTATCTTGCATATTTATATAAGGCTTCTAACCGTCTTCCGTTAAACAGTATTATCCTCATCTTATCAATAATGTTTTTCTTTTGAGTACAGTTTTAATTGTTTTTAATTTTACTTTATCGTCTCTGGAATATTATCAGCATAGGACAATTCGATATTTTACTTTCTTATTCTAAAATAATACAAGTCGACCCCCCCTATAACACTGTTGATTATTCCGTTTTATATGAATTCCATGTTGTACGAGTCACTTAGATTTTACAAATACGTGTTCTGAGCTGTGAACAACTTATGTATTTGTAAAATCTAAGTGACTCATACAACATGGAATTCATATAAAACGAAATAATCAACAGTGTTATAGGGGGGGTCGACTTGTAGTTTCATCTTTATCACTCACTAGGATAAGAGATTATTATCAATCTGAATCAGACAGCAAATAAAATAAAGGACTCAATTAAGATGACAATAATTGGTAATAATTCCAACATTGAGTTTAAAATCCTATTTATTGTCAACTTCATGTTTTATAAATGGTTAACAAATATCTATAACAAACTGCATTGGACAACAGGACATTTACTTTTCTTGTTCTATTTAACTCCTATGCTTTTAGGTTAAAATTTCTGAAATTTTACAGGGAAGTTTGTGTATTAGGGACATTGATGCTATTAAGTTTTGGAGGTTAAAGGTTGACGGAGTGGGGAGATAAAGAGGGGTTGTGTGTCCTGTCTTGAATAGGCTCGGACTTAATGATGATTTTACTCGTTATTAGCATTTACAGTTTTTTATAAAACCATCCCTACCCTCAAAATTAAGTCTTTTACCATTTTATAATAATTAAAAAACATAAAAAGTTTTAAAATAAAATATCATAACTGATGGTACCACACGTGAAGTTTTAAATGTTGCTGGATTTTTTTGTATTGGAAAGTTGGCATCCTGCTTAGTTGTATGCTGAATTTGCATTTGAAAGCTGATTTCATGTTGAGAATAGACGTTAAACTATTAAATAAGATATTTGCAAATAATATTTAATACAGCATTAATACATAATTAAATAATTTTAATGCTATCTAATGGTGTTAGAGGCATTTGGGGATATAAATAATTTAAAGCTGGAATCGGATGGACCATCTGTCAAAGTTCGTGAAAGTTTTCACTTGTCAGAGATCCTATTTTATATATAAAACATTTTTTAATATTTTATGTTTTAAATATATTGCTACAAGCAAAACTAAGCATTTTTTTTTTTTTTTATATTTTAGTATGGTCTTTATACAGCATTTATGGGATGTTTTATGTATACAATATTTGGAAGCTGTAAAGACTTGACAATTGGACCAACTGCAATTATGTCATTAATGACTGCGGAATATGTTGGTGCTGGAGGAATTCCATATGTTTTGATAATGACTTTTCTTTCTGGTTGTTTGCAGCTTCTTATGGGAATTTTACATCTTGGTATGTATTTATTCATACATTTAGTAAATGGTTGATAGAATAGTTTTCATACATACGTTTTTTATTATATTTTCCAGGGTATAAATAATGATAATTTTTGTAGTTTAAATTTTAGATTAATGCATTGATATTTCAGCACATTAACAGATGGAAAGTGTTTTTGTTATTTTACATTACAAAGTATTACAACACTTTGAATCTGACAGTTTCCATAAATTTCCTCACCTAAAATCACTGGCATCAGAGCTAAAGATATTGCAATGCAATCTTCATTGACTTTCTCTTCAAAGTATTTCTTTTCAGCTGTAACTGAGATGAAATATCATTAACTATAGGACTATCTCTCACAGCTACAGTTATCTCTTCTGCTCTATTAAAACAACTATGAAGCATATTCTTAAGACATAAATAAAAATCATCTTTAAGGACTGAAGTAATATATCATTTAGCCAACTCCTGTTAGACGAGGAAGAATTAGCATGCATAAATAACATGATGCAGGAGCATCCAGCTTTTACTATCTACGAATTCAAATGCTTGCACTTAATGGATTCAAGTAGATATGTACAAATTCTGCGACAATTCGTATTCATTATTACTTTTTGAACCATTATAAACTGCATGTATGCAATTTTCTGCTAACTAGATTTCCAGCGTTACATTTACTTTCAATGACTTGACAATGTTTTGTCTTGGTGATTTCAAGATTGTAGATGTTTGATGTGATGTAATGTTCCATATGACTATTGCTTGATGTTTCCTATAGACTAAAAATCTGTTTCATCTTTAGGCATGCATTTCCTAAATATGAATGCTTAAAATAGTATATCCGAAGAATTTGCTTAGCATGTACAATACAGTTTCAATTACTTTTACTATATGATGATCATAAAAATAATCAATAACTGGAATATTAAATATATAATTAATAGTTTTCTGTAATCATAAGACTTTGTTGAAATGATTTTGAAAATTCATATCAAAGTCACTTTGATTACCATAATTAGATAACCCATGACATTGTATACCTCTTAGAAAAATACAGGAATGAAAGNTATAAATCGCATATTTTTGAATTTGGCCAATAGAAAAAGCACATTCCTTTAATTTTAATTGTTTTCCTATACTAGGATTAACAGTATTTCATGACGTAGCAAGCATATGTTCCATTAGTCTCATGTGCAGGTACGTTTGTCATATAAATGCAACACTATACATAAAAATAAAATAATTAAAGCATTGATGATGGCAGTAATCTATTATTTTCATGTAATTGTTCGTACAGACACAATGCCACTACAGCAAACAATTCTTCCTGTATACATAATTACCTCATACAACTGTATTTATGTTAATTTAACAGATCATTTCTTGTAATTATTTACTTTGTATCGATAATATTTCTATACGTAGGCCTCCTAACTAGTTTTCTCCTGCATACTAGGGCCTCAATTGGGCAAAAAGGTGCACGAGGCATCAGCTGAAGCCTCTCGGATGTAGAGTCACAATAAAGTTAATTTTTAAAAATAATTTTTAGCTTCATAAGCATTGTTATTTATTGAAAATGAATATAAATATTTTTAACAAAAAAAAAAAAGGAACAGATTATTAATTATTCACAGACACGCTTCGACACAATATTTTCTCGTCGACTCGTTATATAAAGATTGTTTAAATGAAACCTTCCGTGTCAATAATGTATAAGTAATGCCGATACGGCCTGTTTGTCTGTCTGAATTTAGTGTATATATATAACTGAAAGAAAAAATATAAGAAATTATAAGTAGGAAGATCAGATAGTGATGAAGCAAGTAGGACCATTCAGCAACATTTAATATTTTATGTAAAAAAAAAAAATGTAACAGGAAAGTAATACAAATGAATTTTTATTGATACGTGATGTTTTACTGGTTTTATTCATACATTTTTATTGATTTCGAAGGCACGTTTGCAACTGATCTAAGGATCATCTCACCTGTCTCAAACACTGATTGCTGATCGTGTTTTATAAAAGTAAAAATTGTAATTAGCAGAATTGTACGTAAAAATAGCAATTTTATGTGTATAATATTACATAATCACTAAAAAAATTAAAGGTGATTACTATTATAGAGAGAAGAGAGAGAGTGTGAGGGAAAGAGAGAGAGAGAGAGAGATGAGGGAGAGAAAAGGGGAGAGTGAGAAAGGGAAGGAAGAGGGAAAAGAAGAAAGGGGAAGAGAGAATGAGAAATAGAGAGAGAAAAAGGGGATTTCCCCCTTTTTCTCTCTCTATTTCTCAGAGAGAGAAAAAGGGGGAAGAAAGAGAGAGAAGTGGGAAAAGAGGAGGGAAGAGAGAGAGAGAAAGGAGGGAGAAAGAGGAGGGAAGAGGGAAAAAGAGGAGGGAAGAAAGAGAAAGGTAAATAAAGAAAGAGGGAAAAGGGAGAAAGAAAGAGAAGGGAGTAAGAGGAGGGAAGAGGGAGAGAAAAAGAAGGGAGGGGAGAGAGAGATACCTTCCATAACCACTGTATATGACTACTGTATAACAACTACTAGACTATATGAGGAGATGATAAATTATTATAAAATTAATTTAAGAATCAAATTATTATTTCAGCAACCCAATAGTATTGTTTTTTTTCCAAAATTATCACAACAGGGGGAAAAACATCACTATTGGATTGCTAAAATAATAATTTGATACAAATCGAAACAAGAAGCTAAATGAAGAATTAATTTAAGAAAAAAATTAATATATTTAAATATTTTGAATTTTTACAGTGTTTTAATCCGCTTTATAAACTAATAACACATTATATTAGTATAATTTTTTAAATATTACAAATAGTTTATCTATATTAATTTTTATGACATTGAATAGATACTACAGCTACTTTATTTTAAATTCATTCTATTAATTAATTAATGATAATAAAGATTAATAAATATAATATTGGGAAGTTGATGAATATATAAGAAGGATGATAAACCCAGTAGATGGCAGCAACAGTTATGAATAGGCAATAAATAGAAGTGGAGAAGTGTCGTTGATAAAGTGTGTTTAAGTTGAGGATGAGGAAATCAGCGAATGTTGTTATAGAAATGAAAGGAGAAAATAAGGGAGAGAATGAGCGTACGTATGCTTTTTTAAGTTATTTATTTAATTTTCTACATTTTTTCACATTAAAATTTCAATGTTCAGTCCAGGAGAAAGTTATACTTAACTTAACAATATAAGTATTATTTATTAATTTACTTATATAAAGAATAAATACAAATACTTTCGTGATATTAGTGACATTTAAATGTCTTGTTTATCCTATTCAATTTCTCGAAAATAATGGACAATTTTGTTTTTTTCCCCGCCTGTTATTTATTAATATAACAGAGAGAATGTATGAAGATCAGTAGGAAAAAAAAAAAATGACCTCCCCTAAGATTTTTACATTTTTGGACTCGGGGTGGGGCTTAAAACATCGAGAAATACAAAAAAAATTAGGGGTTTTTTACCCTTTATACATATGGATGTGTGTACGTGGGGGCACGATTTCGTTCACCCAATTTAAAGCTTAATAACTCCTGTGTCTTTTGTCGAAAATTTCTGAAATTTTGCAGGGAAGTTTGGGTATTAGGGGTATTGATTCTGTTAAATTTTAGTGATTAAAGGTCGAGGTGTTGGCGAGATATAGGAGTCACGTGCCATATTTCGAGTGAGGTCGGACCTAACGAAGATTTTACTAGTTATTAGCATTTACAATTTTATATAAAACTCGTCTATACCATTGAAATTAAGCTTTGTCATTTTATAATAATTATATTATTCAATTTTTTAAAAAATTGAAAGATTGATTCCAAAATCCTATGCATCAATTTGAAGGGGTATTAGAGGTAAGTGAACATTTTTTGTCAAACAACATAGTGTCAGAGCATGCCATTATTCTAGTAGAGAGCCCAGAACAACCATGGCAAGCCTGTTGCTTGGTCACTGATTGCCAGACCTCTTGATAGGACTGTATGAAAGTAAAATTAATTTTATATCAAATCTCTTAAGAATTGAGATTATAGAATATTGTTTTTAATAATATAATAAATTAATTAAAGCAAAATGAGAATAAATATAAAATTTTCTTATTGTCAATATATATTAGGAAAAAATTGACACACACTAACGGAAGTATCTATGTGACATCTAATGGAATCTCACCAGGTAAAAATTTGCATATATTTTGTCCAGCTCATTCAGATTGATATTAATTGAACATATCAGAAACATACATTGTTGTGAAAAATACAGAACTGTCTAGTTTGATTAAAGAGTAATTTGCTGGAAAAGTACATTAGGTATTTTGTCTCTCTCTAGAACTGTTTGAACTTGCATAATTTAAAGTTGTACTTGTCAACATATGAAGATAACCCATTAACCAGGTTTAAAACGTTAGTGTTCTTGAAATCTCATCCACTGTTAAAGATGAATTGATTAATTCTGCATATACATCAATATTTAAAATTTTTGTTATTTTATTTTATCATTTTTCTAAGAAAATTATTAAATATTCTCTCTAAGTTTCTTGCAAATGTTTTAAATTAGCTGTCATGTTCATTACCAAAGAAATCATTGTCCTTATTATATTTATATTATCATTAAATAACATGAGCCTATGTTTTGTTTCTGTATTTAGCATTCTTATTTCTGTATTAAAACATTAACACCTTTTATATTTCAGTAAATTCAGTAATTCAGTAAATTTATTACTATTCAGTAAATTTAGTACTATATTCAGTGGTGATATTCAAAATATTTAACAAAGGATTCGCTAACAGAAAATTTTTCCTTAACAATTTTTTTTTCACTCAAATGGTGCATTAGCAACATTAATGCAAAAACTGACCTTAAGACACCCATATAAATAAAAAAGATGCATTTGCAAAATTAAGTCAGTTAAAATTTAACATTTTTTATGCCAGAGCTATATTTTTTTTTATTCTGATGAAACTGTGTTGTTAATTTACTTTGCTTTATACNTTCTTTGTTAAAGGTAAGCTTGAGCTTTGAAACAAAATGTATAAAACAGTAGTAAAAATTGTGTGGGTACGGCTTCAAAGACCCAAACTTATCTTTACCAACGAAGAATTCCTAAGAAAAAAAAATTTGACTGTTGTCTAAATTGTTTATAATTTTTCACTTGGTACAATATTTTTACATTTTAGATGTTTTTATTTGGATAGGAACTGTTTTTTGGTTAATGATTGTGTTATTACGATGACATATTGTACAGTTCAGTTGGCACAGAATGTGATGTAAAGGTCACTAATCGAATGCTTTCAATACATCGTCAGTAAAATCATTACAAAAAGTTTTAATTTACATAATTTGAGCTGCTTTTATTCTGGATAGCATTTTGAATGAAAATGATTTGTTTCCATTCAAATTTATCCTTATAACCATGAAATTAAGCCATAAAAGTAGCTCTGTAGGAAACCCACATGAATTTTGACCTATTAACCTGGAAGCTTTGCTAGCATCTCACTGATGAAGAGAGTGGCTTAAGTTTAAAATTTTTAGTTTTCTAGACTTTGTAATTGTTTTTCTCCAGGAGTGTTGCCATTGCCAGATGAAGAAAAGAAGAAAATACACTGTTCTTGGCAATTTTTTCACTTTTCGATTGCTTATATTTTAGCAACCCATATAGAAAATCCTGAAATTTTTGCACACTGCCTAAGAAAACAAGTATCTTTTGAAACGATATACTTTTTTTTATATTTTAGTATGGTCTTTATACAGCATTTATGGGATGTTTTATGTATACAATATTTGGAAGCTGTAAAGACTTGACAATTGGACCAACTGCAATTATGTCATTAATGACTGCGGAATATGTTGGTGCTGGAGGAATTCCATATGTTTTGATAATGACTTTTCTTTCTGGTTGTTTGCAGCTTCTTATGGGAATTTTACATCTTGGTATGTATTTATTCATACATTTAGTAAATGGTTGATAGAATAGTTTTCATACATACGTTTTTTATTATATTTTCCAGGGTATAAATAATGATAATTTTTGTAGTTTAAATTTTAGATTAATGCATTGATATTTCAGCACATTAACAGATGGAAAGTGTTTTTGTTATTTTACATTACAAAGTATTACAACACTTTGAATCTGACAGTTTCCATAAATTTCCTCACCTAAAATCACTGGCATCAGAGCTAAAGATATTGCAATGCAATCTTCATTGACTTTCTCTTCAAAGTATTTCTTTTCAGCTGTAACTGAGATGAAATATCATTAACTATAGGACTATCTCTCACAGCTACAGTTATCTCTTCTGCTCTATTAAAACAACTATGAAGCATATTCTTAAGACATAAATAAAAATCATCTTTAAGGACTGAAGTAATATATCATTTAGCCAACTCCTGTTAGACGAGGAAGAATTAGCATGCATAAATAACATGATGCAGGAGCATCCAGCTTTTACTATCTACGAATTCAAATGCTTGCACTTAATGGATTCAAGTAGATATGTACAAATTCTGCGACAATTCGTATTCATTATTACTTTTTGAACCATTATAAACTGCATGTATGCAATTTTCTGCTAACTAGATTTCCAGCGTTACATTTACTTTCAATGACTTGACAATGTTTTGTCTTGGTGATTTCAAGATTGTAGATGTTTGATGTGATGTAATGTTCCATATGACTATTGCTTGATGTTTCCTATAGACTAAAAATCTGTTTCATCTTTAGGCATGCATTTCCTAAATATGAATGCTTAAAATAGTATATCCGAAGAATTTGCTTAGCATGTACAATACAGTTTCAATTACTTTTACTATATGATGATCATAAAAATAATCAATAACTGGAATATTAAATATATAATTAATAGTTTTCTGTAATCATAAGACTTTGTTGAAATGATTTTGAAAATTCATATCAAAGTCACTTTGATTACCATAATTAGATAACCCATGACATTGTATACCTCTTAGAAAAATACAGGAATGAAAGTCAAATCTTAAATGCTTTCAGGATGGCCAGATATTTACCAGTATGCAGTTTAGAAGTTACAATGTTAAGAAATTAAAATATTGCTTTTTTTTCTTTCACTTCTATTAACAAATCATTAGTAGATACAGAATATCTGGTCCTGTTTTTTTTTATATATAATAATCATATTAATATCTGGATTATTTCAACTATAATTTGACTAACTATTAATAATTAATATAATTTTCTCTCTAAAGATAGGCAGTTATTATCTTATTTCTAACATTAGCCAATAACTGTTGAATTTATTTAATTCAAAGTAATTTTGCTTTTTTTGGATGTTGAACAGTTCGTTAATTAACTTATTGTACTAAAAAATAGGTCATTCATGGCATTGACTTCGAATTATTTGTATTAATTAACATATTACTTCAAGGTTTGCTTGCTTAACTGCTCATCACTTAGAAGCACCCCAAATTTATAATTGCATATGCTATCCTATGAGGATGCTACATGCTTTAAGTGTTCTTAGTTTAAAAAATTTGATGTTAATTTATCAATTTAGTTAATTTATATATGATTTCATTTGAACTTTTGTCCAGCATTTACTACCTCATCCATTTACCCTTGGCTATTTTATTATTATTGGCTATGTTATTTATTATTTTTGCTAATTTTTTTTCAATAAAATTACATTTTTTTAAATGTCATCTGTTAACTTTATTTCTTTTTATTAGGATTTCTTGTGAACTTTATATCTGCATCTGTTATAAGTGGTTTCACATCTGCAGCTGCTATTACAATAGCTTCAACTCAATTAGCTGTAAGTAATCAATGAGATTTTTAAGTAAATATTTTTGTAGTAATAATAATCAAAACAATATTTAAAAAATCTTCAATTTACTATTAAATCAATAAGTGAAACTCTTCCTTTTTTTTAATTAAATTGCTTTTTTCAGGGTAAAAACTTTATAGAAACCTTTAGCACTACTGGGTTACCTTTAATGCATAGAAATTTTTAACATTAATGCTGGTAACTTTCCAAAGGAAATTTTCAGATAACTGGTTTTCACCGATTTTTAGATTTTATTTAGCAGAAGATACTAAAGAAGGCCTGCGTGGATACTTTTTCCATTACAGTCTTTTTACATCTTTTCTTGACTCTCCTCTTACACCATATTATTCACTGCTTCCTCTTCATACATATCTTCACAAAATTTTACATGAAATCAGCCTTTATAGGACACTTTGGATGCAAAGTACAAATTACTTTATACTTTACAGTCATTGATGAAAAAAATAGAAATGAGTGAAGTAGGTCTGTGCAAAGGTTTATAAATAATTCTGTGCACAGCGGTATTGTTTATATACACTTACGAACATTTTAGAAGTTGTCATAACATTGAAGTATGCTCTACCAACTGTTTTGAAATTTTATAATCCAAACAAAAACATCTGAGATGTAAAAAAATTGCACCAAGTAAAAAATTATGGCAGATGACAGTCAAATTTTTTTTCTTAGAAATTTCTTTGTTAAAGGTAAGCTTGAGCTTTGAAACAAAATGTATAAAACAGTAGTAAAAATTGTGTGGGTACGGCTTCAAAGACCCAAACTTATCTTTACCAACGAAGAATTCCTAAGAAAAAAAAATTTGACTGTTGTCTAAATTGTTTATAATTTTTCACTTGGTACAATATTTTTACATTTTAGATGTTTTTATTTGGATAGGAACTGTTTTTTGGTTAATGATTGTGTTATTACGATGACATATTGTACAGTTCAGTTGGCACAGAATGTGATGTAAAGGTCACTAATCGAATGCTTTCAATACATCGTCAGTAAAATCATTACAAAAAGTTTTAATTTACATAATTTGAGCTGCTTTTATTCTGGATAGCATTTTGAATGAAAATGATTTGTTTCCATTCAAATTTATCCTTATAACCATGAAATTAAGCCATAAAAGTAGCTCTGTAGGAAACCCACATGAATTTTGACCTATTAACCTGGAAGCTTTGCTAGCATCTCACTGATGAAGAGAGTGGCTTAAGTTTAAAATTTTTAGTTTTCTAGACTTTGTAATTGTTTTTCTCCAGGAGTGTTGCCATTGCCAGATGAAGAAAAGAAGAAAATACACTGTTCTTGGCAATTTTTTCACTTTTCGATTGCTTATATTTTAGCAACCCATATAGAAAATCCTGAAATTTTTGCACACTGCCTAAGAAAACAAGTATCTTTTGAAACGATATACAAGGTCTGTTCAAAAAGTATCGGACCTTTGGTAGGCAAAAATAAATTTATTTATTTTGAGGTACAAAACCCTAATCCTTTTCAAAGTAGTCTCCTTGGTAGTGTATACACTTCTCCCAGTGTTCCTGCCATTGCTGGAAACACTGCTGGAACGCATCTTTTGGAATGGCCATCAGCCGGTCCGTTGGATTCCGCACGATGTCTTCTCTCGACTAAATTCGGGTTCCTTTCAGCGGCATTTTCAGCTTGGGAAATAGCCAAAGGTCACACGGAGCCATGTGGGGAGAGTACGGAGCGTGACGAACCACAGGAGTGTTGTGTTTGGCAACGAAAGCCCGAATCAGATGCGCAGAATGGGTGGATGCGTTATCACGATGGAGCTGCCAAGTTTTGATCGACCACAGATCTGGTTGTTTGCGTCGCACTGTATCGGAAAGACTACGAAGGACCTCCTGGTAGTACTCCTTTGCAATGGTTTGGCCTTGTGGTGTGTACTCACGACACACCACCCCACGAGAGTCGAAAAAACTGTCAACATGACCTTTGATATTGCTGCGGACCTGCTGCGCTTTTTTTGGCCTCGAGAATCGTCCCCGAAAGCCTGCTGAATCTTGCGAATGGTTTACGCTCGGGTATCGCCAAGGTTTTTGGCAAAATTTGATGTAATATCGCTGCTCACGTTGTTCAGTCATTTTCCAGCTTAGTGGAATCCGACGAGAGCGCACTACATGACCTCACTCATAGGCCGATTGCCAACGACTGACGCTTCCTGCAGGTGGGAAAAAATTCAGGGCTGTGCATGACTGTCCCCTCCACAACTCCACCGAAGGAGGCCGCTCGCGCATCATTGGTTTACGTGGAAAAAAAGAAAGGTCCGATACTTTTTGAACAGACCTTGTATTTGGAATTACTATAGGTGTTTGAGGACAGAGAAATCGACCCCTGAAGAATCCTCAACTCTAATTCTTGTATATACTTCAGTCAGTGACTTTTTCACTTGGTACATAGTGACTGTCATGACTCTATACTCATTTTTCTCCCCTATATTTTTTATAACTTTTTAATTTTTCTATTATTTTGTCCTATAAGTGTCAATAAATTTATGAGGATAACAATAGAAAACAGCAAAGAAAGAATTATCTTTAAGAATAATTCAGAAAATTTATAAAACTAGTATTGGTGTTTCAGTAATGGTATTACTCATCAATTTTCAAAACTTATTGTTTTTATAAACTATAATTTTTTATAAAAGTATATATAATCTATACTCTATATTATATACAAATGAACAGCTGAATTATTTAAGGTTATAACTAGACAGCGGATTTTAGGCAAATGCCTATTTTTTTCCTTGGCATATACATGGCTAACATTTTGTACTAACTACTTCAGTGAACATTTCTTCGATATCAAAAACTTCTGGCCATTTTAGCGGACAATGCAGTTTGTGTAACTAAAGCAAAGAAAATTTTGAATGACATGTTTAGAACAACTTGGTGTACAGTACGTCAAGTATTATTTCACATTCATTGCAGTTACTATTACTGCTCTTGAAAGTAGTGGGAAACCTATATATGAACAAATTGATCTCCTCAACAGAGCAAACCAGAAACTTTGTGATGCACCAGGTACTGCTGCAAAAAAAAGTGAAGAAAGAGTTGAAAGTGATGCTTCAAAAGAGACTTGGATTAAAGTGCTTGTTTGTTGTGCTTGATGTGCAGGAAAGAAGAGCAAAACTGAAAGCGAATTCCCAATTCATCATCTTCCAAGGTTCAAATACTGTCTGTTATCTTCAGTAGATGTGGAACACTCTTTCTCTGCATATAGATTAATTCTCAGTGACAAACGTTGCAACTTTTTTATTGAAAATTTGGAAAAAGTGCTTGTAATATATTATGAAGCTAACTATGGGAAACAGAGTGAATAAAAAATGTAAAGATAATTGTTTGTCTACTTTTGTGTTTGCATCATTCTGAATACGTGCATTTTTGTTTGGAATACATGTGATAAATAAAAAAATTCATTGTCCTGATAAGTAGGTTAATTGTTTATTGTGCAAATTTTGACCGCCTATATTTTGTTTATAAAGCCTAAACGACACAATTTGAGCTTATTTTAAATGCCTAAAACACCACTTTTAAAGACCTAGATGTCCTCTGTCTAGTTATAACTTAATTTTATGACTGTTAAAAGCAGCTGTTGACCATTAAAAGCCCCTAAATATGGCAGTTTTCATTTAGTTCACTTGAGTAACAATAAAATTCATTTTGTAGTTATAAGGATATGAATATATTTTATTTAAACTTAATAAAATATATTGTAGGGTCTTCTTGGAGTAAAAGTTAAATCTCAAGAATTTTTTACCTCAATTTATGAAATCTTTTCAAAGATACATACAGCAAAGTAAGTGCAAAATATCCTTACACATTACATCACAAATTTAAGATTATATAAATTGAAGTATTGAAATTTTTCAGTTATTGGGATACTATTATGGGAATTTTGTGCGTAATAATTCTGTTATTACTTAGGGTAAGCTGATTCTTTATAAATGATAATTTTAATTACGTTCCTAATTTCTAATATAATTTTAATAGTATTTTAAAGAATTAAAATTTAGAGAAGACTCAACAATTACTCCAAAATTGAGAAAAATTTTGTCTACAGTTTGGTGGATGATTACAACAGGTAATTATTTCAATATTAACTGATATATTTAGAAATGCTTTCTTCATATGAAAAAATTCAATTAAGAAATAGTATTAGTAATTTTCCTCTGAATGTCAATTTGTCTGTATATATGTTCAGTCATTCTCTCATACACACTAATTGTAATATAATCTTTTTTCTCTATTAAAAGTAATTATATTTTACCTTTCTTAAATCATTTTAGGCTTCTATAATATATTAATTACTATAGCTTCCTTGTATTGTTAGTTCTCTTAATAAAAAAGTAAAATGAATTGTCTTTTGATTGAGAGATTTGATATTTAACTTTCTTTCTATTATGTTCTCAAATCTTTTAACTTAAATTTCATTCACTTCTAATTAAAATAGAAGGCATCATTGTCAAATCTTAAATGTTTTAGGGAGTGTTCCATACAAACCCACCCAATCCAATTACCGTCACCATTCCACTGGATAAACTCATCATTTGTTTGTGTGTATATAAGTACAATCGGTTAGCGTATGTGGTAGTGATGGAAACTCATCATCCGCCTCCCCAAACCTCAAAAAAATGGCCATAAAAGTGCTTACTTTTTTAAAAATATATAAAAATTACTAAAGTAAACAGAACAAAATCTTAAAGCGCTAACTATTTTTGTGCTTTTTACAATATTTTAAATAGAATTTTATTTTTAAAATTCATTACTTTAGTCGACGAATCAATTTGGTTGAGCAACCCCAGAAATGTTTAAAGGTAGTCTCTCTGAAATATTGGGCACTATTCCTCATCAGCCAACTCTATTGTAGGTCCATGTGGCTTAACCCATGATGAATATGGAAAAGTTGTGCCCACAGGGCAAAAAGAGTGAAAAAAAAAATTGTGAATATTACTTTATTAACATTCATATTTTAATTAGCTCAGAATATATAAGTAATTTAATATTTTTTCTTCAATTAAAATAATATATAGTATGTCTTGTCTCAAGAAACAAAATGTGTACAGCCAAGTCAACATCTCAAAGCTTCTATAGTTGAGCTTCATCAACAAATTACATTCACTATAATTCTGCCTATAGTTTTTGATTGGTACATCGTGTATATGTTTAAAATCTCCAGAGAAAGTTAAAGCTAAATGTCATACACTCAACATTGTATAGAAAGCTTATAACTCTTCTAATATCATTAGCTTATTGAATTATAAAAAAATTAATTCTAAACATTTACAATATTAAATTGCATAACGTGTTTTTATTTTAATTTTATGATATTTTACAAAATCAAGATTTTAGGAGAGGTCTTTATATTTATCTGTAAATAACTTATACTAGGATTAACGTAATTGGATGAATCTTTACATCATTTACTGTAAATTTTTCAAGGAATATCTTTTCATATGGTTTGCGAGATGCTTTATTTGCAAACAGTAGTTTAATTGCAATAAAATTAAAATTATTATGTAGTGTAATAGTTATTTTAATAAATATATTTTTTTTATTGCAGGAAAAAATGCTTTGATTGTTCTTGTCTGTGGAGGTTTAGCATCTATTCTTTTAATTTATAACATATCTCCATTTACACTTACTCAGGTTATCAAAGCTGGTTTGCCACCATTTGAACCACCACCATTCTCTGTTGACGTCTATGATAATTCAACTAATAAAACTGAGCACAAAGATTTTATTAGAATAGTTCAGGTTTGTCATTTGTGTTGAGTTTTTATTTCACTGAATAATTTTGTTTTTTTTTTTTTAGAAACACTACTCTTTCTGTAGAGTTATCAGTTAATTTTTAATATTAACTCCTAAATTTAAGTTAATGTATGTATATTTAACATATATTCACTTTTATACAAAAATTTTACAAATACAGTCGACCCTTCTGTAACAAGGACTCCTATAGTCCGGATTCCTATATCACTGCGAAAAAATTGTGACAGTATTTGTACAAACATGCTAAAAAACACCTGTAATTCGGTAAAATGTCATCACCGACTCGTGTCACGACAGGATTGCACAAACCGTTGAGTTTAAATGAGCAGCGGATGTACTAAAAACCATTTATTATTTAACATCCATAAAAATTATATTTATATTAATGATGTCGCTAACTTTCAATGAATTTTTTGCAAAAGAAAAATAATTTATCAGGAAGCACACGAGCACCATTCAATGACAATCTCCACGACAAAAACAAGCTTAAGCAACAGCATAGTCGAACTGTGCACACTCGGTAAGTAATCCTACAATTTTTTGTTTATAGCATAGTTTATATAGATTATTCCCAAAAAATTATATGTATTTTGGAAATGTTGAGTCGAATTAGTCTAGAATCGATTAATTTTATGGAAGAAACCTTTCAAACAGCCGTAGTCCGTAAACTGCATACATGCCGGGCTGTGGACTCCTAGAAGCTGGATTCATAAAAATAGGAACATATCTACCGTGTTATAGGGGGTCGACTGTATAAACTAACAAGATTTGTTTTTATTAAAAAAGTCTTCTATATTTCTTTAATTTAAATGTTATTTAATGAAATATCTTTTTTTAGAAGACTTCTGGATGTATATAGCTTTTTATTATAAAAATACCATGTGTTCTCATATCTCGTTCTATGATTGGTGTCATTTCATCAGTAGAAATAAAAGAAAAATATCTTTGTGTACGAAAATTTATACTCAGCATACTGAATGATGATGATCAGACATTAAAATTTTATTAATTTAAAATATATGAGAGTGGTTGACACGTGAAATGTTAGTGTAGAATGTTCGAAGGTTTAACTGGTAGAAATATATTAATTTGGACTTTAAGTTTTGAACTTATATTTAAAATATTTTATTTTTGTTAATTTAAAAACAAAAACTTTATTTCAGGATTTGAGAATTGGTGTGATTATGATTCCTGTGATTAGCATCTTGGAAGCAATTGCTATTGCCAAGGCTTTTGGTAAATTTTAGTTTTATTATAGAAAGTGCATGTACAGAATATTTTGTATCTCAACTATGTTTTAACTGAAACAAATCATTTACATGGGACTGCTCAATTAATAATAGATTTAGTGTCATTTGCTAATGAGTAGATGGAGTGTTTGTGAAATATTATAAACGGAAAGTAATGAGAAAAAGAAAATAGCCAAACAACCAAATAATATTGTTTTGTTATTTGTCATTACTTGGTTGTATTTGGTTAATTATAAGGAAATACATCTAATTTTGTACAAAATTTCACATGAGAGTTCAAAGTTTTGCTATCCAGTGAATACTAAGAGGAATAATACATTTTAATAATTAATAATTATATTCCTATGAATCATTACTTATAAATTTGTAAAATTGTTTGTAGTAAAACCTATAAATGCCAGAACTTGAGAGGATTATTTTTTAATGTCTTTCAGGTTTTCTAGTTTTACCACTTTTTTACTGTTTTTATTGCCTACATAAGTTCTCAGAAAATGATTCTTTTTCCTTTCATGAGATTGAGTGAAAAATGTCTTATCATATTTACATTCTGTACGTTGGTTGTCGTTGATGTTTTAATGAAAATTTATTGAAAAGACTGTGTGTATCCTTTATAAAAAAAAATTCTCTTCAAAGCTTTTATTAGCAGAAAACTTGTATTTGATTTAAAGGCTCAGAATCTTCTCTTTGCTGGCCAATGTAATCTTTTGTTTTTTAGTTTGTGATTCCACAATTTTGAGAAGATTTTTATCATCAATATCTGAGGATACAAGCACAAAAGTAAAAACATTAGAATAACATTGCAAGAGAAATGGAAGCTTGAACCCTTCAGAGTACCTTTGAAACTCTAACAAAAATAATTTTTCCTAATGGATGACACTGCACTGATGTGGAATAAGACCACACAAATTTTTGTGTGGTCTTGTACTTCTAAATTTGATATTGAACAAAAAAGGAATGGAGGAGCAGATTATTGCAAGAATCACTTTCATAGACAGAAGAAAATTATTACATGCAACAGTAACAGATGAAACAGGTAGGAAAACAAACATAAAAGCATATGTGATAGGAGGTAATTTGGGTTGCAATAGCATGATTTCTCCCATTCCATTTGCATCTCATAGGTTTTGGCTTTGAGAATGTTTGTTAGGTTAATGTAATTGCCTTTACTTCGTAAAGTTTCCACCTTACTCAAGTTCTGACTTTTGCAGTTTTTACTGTGTTTTTATTTTTAAATACAACAATCTGTGATTACCACACCTGAGCAAAACATTACAAAAAAGATTCCCATTAAAATGAAAAAGGTAAATAATAAATAAAAGTAATAAATTCAATAAAAAGTATACATTCAATGAAAACAAATAACAAGAAATGGACAGTATATAAGTATACAAAATAAGATGCAAAACAAGAGAGAAGACCTAATCTAAACACTGCAATATAAAGTATCTTTTACAAAATTTCTTAAAACACATTTGTTTTATAATATATATATTATTAAATTGGATTCAGAAATTAAAATTGTTTCAGAAATACATTGATATTTGTTTCCTCTTTAGCTAAAGGAAAGAAACTTGATGCATCACAAGAAATGATAGCTTTAGGTAAGTATATTCATATTTTAAAAGTTATTTATTTATTCAACAAGAGATACTTTAATATTTGAATTAAAATAGGAAATTAATATGTAAAAATTAATGAATTAATTTTAATCCTAAACAATACAAGTATCCCCTCTCCACTTTATGAAACTTTTCGTAAGTCAAAATGGTGTAAAGCAAAGAAACAATTACCATTAATTTGTGTGGGATAATTTTTTGAGCATTTACAGACACAAAATATAATGTACCAAATTATAATAAATAGCACTAACATATAGTAAAAGCAGAAATATAATAAATACACAGTTTGTATAAAGTAGATATAGTGTAGATATATGTACAATGTAGTTTTATTTACCATCAGAATTAGGAAGACGACAAATGCATTGACAGGTCTGAGAAGTAGTGGTAGTTGTTAGGATGATTTGTGGACGATGCAGAGCACTGAGTTGTAGGAAAGAAAGGAAGTGGATTATCTACGAATCCATCAGGACAAGCCGATCACTAGCATGTACGCTTTGTCTGCCTGCTTCTCTGTCAAAGGTTGAAGTTTGTTATCTGCTATGGCTGATATAATATTGAAATATGACAGTATGCTTGACTGCTTAGCTTCACATAATTTTTCTATCATACGGTTCTTTTTAAACATCCTGCTCTAAACCTATACACACTTTCAAAATTAAAGCCATACTTTTCTGCAATTATTGTACACTGCCAATTTTAGTGAAAATCTTACACAAGTGCTCCACATTCAGTTCCTGGGTGACTTTAATTTTACATCGTTTGCTGTTACTATTGGTTACAATTCATATTCATTCCTCTTGCAATTGACTTGGCTCTTTTTGTCAGTTCTTGATCATGCTTATCTGTCAGAATGCTAAAATCTCTTCAATATCATCTTTATCAACTTTCACCCTCCTCCAAGTCTCCTTAGCCAAAACCAATATTGCTGTGTTTATTATTGTCGTTCAAAAGTTTTTAAAATCATTTACTGCTTTAGAGAAGTGAACAATTTTAAAAACTCCATTAATTTAATTTCATTATAGTTCCATTTCTCATTGAGACTGTTAGTCTATTGAGAACATCTCAAGGTTGCAATTGCCAACTTTATATATCTTTCCGGACCTTTTGCAAAGATACTTTGGAGTTTCTTCTCTATCAGTAGCACTTACTATATGCAAAATATAATTCATTTTATTGTAAGGCTTATTGTGGCTATTTGACCTTGATCATATGATTGCAGTAATGATGTCATAATACATGGTAAAAGCACAATGTGGATGTTACCACTATATCTGGTAATGCCAAATGGATGAGCAGCACAATTACCAACAATAACAAGATGAAAAAGCATTGTCGAGGTTGTTTTCTCTACAGTATTTTTTTCAACAATAGGACTAACATGCTCACTTGTGTACTCAGAAAAAATCATTTGAGTATTTCATCCACTTGGATGTGAATGAAGCAACAGGAAGTATATTCTTATCAATGCCTTTAAAGTACCTATTCAGACTTTCTGAACAATTAAGTAGTAAAGGGTTAAGGAGAAACAATACCAGTGGCATTAATAATAGACATCAGGGTAAACTTGTCCTTCAAAGCTTTATATACCTCGTATATCCCTTAACCTGTTTTTCTAACCAAAAAAAAATATTTTGCTTGCAACTTTTTCCAATAAATTGCAATATTATCACAGTTAAACATTTTGTATAAGCAAATGTTTAATCTTCAATGTAAAATCTTCTGTTATTTACTTCAGTTCTGGGAAGTTTTTGTTAGCATCAGTGAAGCTGCCAGTAATATTTATAAAATAACATTCAGTTATTGGTTAATATTAATAATACTTGATGCCTCCTTGTCTCCAGTTAATATATCAAAGGAAAAAACAATAGATTTCATAGTAGATTACTTGATTAAAATTATTAACAAGTCATTATAGTGTGCTTTATCTGGATTTAGTTTGTGCATCCATTAGCAAGATGAGTACTAAGGTAATAAAAAAACTGTAAGGGCTCATAAGGATGTTATGCATAGCAGAAAACCAGATGTAATTAAGTGTTTTGATGGTGGTGATTTGAAATAAGGACTTTGTGCAATCTTTAAACTTGCCTGTGTTACTGTTCATATTTACACAGAGGAAAACTAAAAATATTGAAAGCAGCTGAAGTTTCTATTGATTTTGCTTGTAAGAAAGTGGTTCCTTAGTTGGATAAAATGTAAAGTCTTTTCTGTTATCTTATACTTAAGGAGAAATCAGTCATTTTAATAAGACTGATTTTTTATTAAGTATGTGATAACAGAACACTATGCTTTGTACACCTATCAATCCATTTAAGCAATAGACTATGTATATAATATGTATACAATATCTGAGTTTAATCTTCTTCCACAGTGTTAGTGGCTACATCCAAAATGATTACTGGAATGAATGTAAGTTTGAAGTTTGTACATTCTAATTTGGGTCCTTCTAATATTGGCTCTAGTTATGCTATTATGTATTAGTCTTGAAATATATTCAAATTTTGTATTCTGAAAGTTATAATATGGAAAATAGTTACATTGCACTTTTTATGTAGACTTCACTTGTATCTGATTTATTAAAAGATTTTGCAAGTAGTAATATAATTTATACATAAACAAACCTCATGAAATCCAATAAATTTGTAAAGCCAAACAACGCCAGATTACATTGCGATACTTTTTTGCAGTTATAATTAATTTGTGTAAGCATTGCTCCACATGAAATTGCAGATTCAAGTCTTGCTCAGAGTCAATTCTGATAGTGTAAATACTTATTAAACTGTATTAAGCAGGCACCACACATTCTGTATTTCCTGATTACCACATAATTGCCTATTTGTCCCCTTTGATTTAGCATAATATAGTGACAAGGAGTAGGAAATGGCAAATTCCAGACATTAGTCAAGAGTAAATAATCTACACTGCTCAACATTGGCCAAATGTTTGCTCAGCACTTGGCAAATGTGGTATGTGTGGAGCCTACGGAGCCAGCTTTAATTCTGTGGTTTGATTGACTGCCTGGTCTAAATGCATTTGTAAAGGGCTAAAAGTTTTGATGATTTATGGCATCTTCCAAAAACCATCATTAATCGTTCCTATTATACTATGTTATCAACATATTTTATTTAAAATTTTGCAATTAGATCTATTAAAATGCATTTTATATTAATACGCTTAATCTAAAAATCATTTGAGTTTTTAATTAATTTATTTATTTTAGGAATTGGTAACATAATGGGTTCATTTGTTTCTTCATTTCCTGCTACTGGAAGTTTTTCAAGGTAAGAAACATAATACTTGCATTATTTATTATTACATAGAACAATAAATTTCATTATTCACATTGCTTTTTATTCTTTGTGAAACAATTTGTGAATAGATATACAATTTTTTCATTTAATTTGATTATAGATTGGTTTAAAAAGTTTCAGTAAGGCAACTCGATGCCTTTTTAAAAACATTTTTAGAGTTAATTGTAAATAGCATAATCTGTATCAGTAGCATAGCTGTGGGCAGCCCAGGTCCTCCTAATCTTTGTAAATAAATAAATAAAGAAAAATTCAAATACAGGGAAAAGAATTGTATGAGACAAATACGCTGATACATGAGTATATAGAATAAGTTTATTCTTCATACACACTATTACAAGAGAGAATGTAGGTTTGTGTGTTTTAATTTAGGCCTCCTAATATTTGTTTTAGTTGTGCCACGTGAAATCTTTCATGCAGGATGCATTCATAAGTTGAATATGAAAACATGCAAGATTTATCAGTTGCCATATTGTGCGAATAAGCGATGTTATTGCAATTATATTTTAAAGAAGATTAGTTGGATTTGCAATTCTGATATCTCTTGGTGACATTTAAGAGGTATTATAGAGTAAGAATACTGAGAGTATGAGTATTTCATAGTAATTGCATTTTAAAACAAAGTTAAAATGTAAATACAGTGGTGCCTCCTATAACGTACTTAATTCGTTCCAGGTGCACGTTCATTAAGTGAAAAGTCTGTTATACGAAATGCATTTTCCCATAGAAATACATGTTAAAACATATACAGTAATTTGTTTTGCATCATAAAATAACCATACTGTACCATAAAAAAATAAAAATGGAGCAGTCACCAATTATGCCGGGTAGTCAGATGATGTGAGGAGGAGGTGGAGGAACACTTTCTTCACACATTCATACAGATAGACTTTTTATACATTGCAGTAGGTCTCTTTTTATTGGTTTTTAATCAGAGTCAGATTCAGCAGAGGCTACCGGGGCTTGTAGAGTGAACTCCTCTTGTTCTATCCTTTGTTTTTTGGCAGTTGGCTTCTTGAAAAAACATGTCCAAGGTGGTCTGTTTCTCTCTCTTCTTCAACACCTGTTGGAAATGACGGGCAAGGGTGTCATTGTAGAGATTATTGATCCTGTTGGCCTCAGCTCTGTTTGGATAATGAGTGTTGGTAAACTCCTGAACCTCTCCCTGTTTGACAAAGAAGTCCTTGTCAACTTTCACTCCTGATGATTTGTTTCAATTGAAATCACCTTTCTGTTTTTTTAGAAGCCATGATTTTCACAACACTTGAATAAATGTAAATACCCTGCACTGAGGTGATGTACAATATGTAATAAACAAGGGAGCAAGCTGAATCCCAACGGAAGCTCTGTACTTCAGATATATTAATAATATATTCTAATAATACTAATATATTCTAAAAATAGTAGATTGTCATTGGCAACGGCAAAAGAGTGGAAACATCATTCGCAACTTGTTCACAGAAATGTTTGCCTCATGTAACGGCCAAACAGAAAGTCCGTTGTTCACAGCTTCTGTTATTCAAGGTGTATGTTATACAAGATACCACTGTACTTTGAAGGACTTCAGTTTGAATGCTAAATTCAACAAAAATTTGCATCTGAGTTCAAACAACAGGCTATAAATTGGCATTCAAAGGCTATAAATTGTGTTTATGCTTCAAGCATATTTTCCCAATGTGTGTACAGTGGAAAAATGTGCTTGCAGCATAAATTGTATTTATGCTGCAGAACGAATTATATGTTTTAACATGTAGTTCTATGGGAAAATGCATTTCGTATAACGGACTTTTCACTTAATGGACGTGCACCTAGAAGGGATTAAGTATGTTATACAAGGCACCACTGTATTTAAATTTTAACTTTGTTTTATACGTAATCAAACACATTGAAAATAAAGTATGAAAAAAGAACTGAAAACATAATGAGAGCACTTGCATCATAAATACAATTTATGCTGCAAGTGCTGTGTGTTTAATTACATATACTGTATTGTGTGCTATTTATTGATTTAACAATTTGTTCCTGCAGTTTTTCTTTGTTGACAGCTTTTGAGCACCTCGTATGTTTTGTAAGCTTTAGTTCAAAATTTCCCAAGCAGAACCTTAAACACATTTGACATGCTCAAAGTTTTGGAGCATTTTCATCATACACATTACAATTTTTTTTACTATATGTATGTAAGGCATTATACCCTCTCTGACACTTATAAAGCATACTGTATGTATGCTATATCTTTTATCCCAGGACATTACAACTTGATTTTATTCAAACAAAATGTGAAGAAAAAAGTTTAAAATAAGGTTCTAAACAACAAATACAATCTCACATTAGCAATAATGTGTTAAATTTCTGAAATGTTATAAATTATACATCTATGTTAAATAAGGACAACTTTTTGACAGCTATCCTTACTCAGTATGCAAAAACTGTCTGTTCAATGCACTATAACTTTTATTTATTTATTATGTCATCTGAGAAGTGTGTGGAGGCAACTGAGTTTAAGAGAAAGATTATTATATCAACAATTGAGGTGAAAAAGGAACTTATTACAAAGCACAAAAGCTGTACATCTGGTGGCCTTGCTAAGATGCTGAAGTTGATGGTGTGCGACTAGTTTATGCAATTTTCATTTTATTATACAATATTTATGTATTTTATTTATTGTTTTCATGTTTTAACTTATTAGGTCATTTAATTGTGTTATTTTTACCTTAAATTATGTGTGTTTGCTGTTTTAAGTTTATCGAAATGAAATATTCATTTAAAAAAAACTTATTGTTTTGTTAAGTATTGTTTAAGGTCTGGTAATGGATTAATTCACTTTCCATTATTTCTAATGTGAAAAAATTGATTTGGACAATGAATGGCCTCCTGGAATGAATTAAATTCAAAGTACAAGGCACCACTGTATATTCGTTATATGGTCAGAGTGAAAGCTAACTTTTGTTTTCTCAAGCCTGACTAAGCAGAGCTTGATGTTCATATGCAGGTTCATTGCAGATACGCCTCTACAATTTATACAGAATGCCCAGCATTTAGTATATTAATTCATTTAGCTCATCACACATTACATGTTGTAATGTTCTGGTATGACCTTTGGGGATTGGATGGCTCCTTGTGAATCTAGATTGTGGATTGGCTCTCTCTACACCCTTTATCTGATCTCAGACCTCACCCATACCTGAATGTCTTTCCCAGATAAGTAGTATGTAATCTTTCTCTCTCTCTCTCTCTGACCTCATCTGAACATCTGAGAACATAGTATTATCATCTCCAAGCCATACTCTCCACTCCACTATACAGTTGAAATGAAAAGCCAAGTGAATTCAACATTCAGGACATTTGAAAATATCCAATTATCCCAAATATAAAATGTTTAGCTGTATTTTTAATTTTATAGTTATAATTTTATCTTTACTGAATAACAGAATAAATCAGATCAAATCATTATGCTTAATTTTATTAAACTATAACATCAAAAAGTGTAAGCTTAAAGATTAATAATAATTAATTTGTTTACAGGACTGCAATAAATTATAGCAGCGGTGTCAAAACTCAGTTTGGCGGAGTATTTACAGGTATGAGTTTTTAGTGCGTGCATATATTAATTAAACTGCTATCTCCATCAGTAATTATAAAGTATATTTTTTTATTACAGGAACTACAGTAATTCTTGCATTGTGCGTCTTGTCTCCATATTTTCGTTACATTCCTAAGCCGTCTTTAAGTGCCATCATAATTGTTGCCGTTCTTAATATGGTGCATTACAAAGATATTCCAGTTATGTGGAGGACAAACAGTGAGCTTATCCGAACATCATAAAAATTCTTGGATATATTATTTATAATAATAATAAAAATGCAATATTGCAGAACTTGATCTGTTACCTTTTCTTGCTACTTTTATTTGTTCATTTGTAATCGGGTTGGAAGTGAGTATGTTGTCTTAATTTGTATGCTAATTTTTACGTATGTGTTATAATTGTAAAATATTTCAGTATGGAATTATTATTGGTATGTCCCTTGCATTGATGATAATCCTATTTCAACAAGCAAGACCAAAAATAACATTTAAAGATAAACTGGTAAGAAATTTACTGTGCTACATGAAATGAGTCTTTAGCAAAAATATAATTAAAAAAAAATTTCAGACCTCACAGGGACAAAAATATTTATTCGTCCAACCTGATAGAACAGTATTGTTTCCTGCTACCGATTATCTTACCAGTAAAATTACACAGAAACTCCCAGGTTAGTTACTTTAATGGAGTAAAATGTTTGTCTTCTATGTTTTTAGCGTATATAAATTGCCATTTTATCTTTTCGTGTTTAGATAATAAAGATTTTCAAAATTATTTCGTAGTGATCGACGGTGAATATATCATAAGTTGCGATTATACAATGGCTGTTGTAAGTGGTGTTTTAACATCGTATTAAATTCATATTAATTGTTACTAATTTTTTTTGTGTATTTTCTATTGAATTTTACATGTATTATCAGCTGTTGCTACTTTTAAAATATAATTTATAGCTCTGACACATCATACTACAGTGGAACCCCGGTTAACGAACGTCCTGGTTAACGACCAAATCGGTTAACGAACTTTTATTTTCCAAAAATTTTGTCTCGGATAATGAACAAAATTCGGATAACTAACTTAACGGCTTTTTGTGTCAAATTTGTAAGCTCACTTTCACGAAACTTCCTGAACCACTTATGGCAGGTGAAATCATCAATGGCTTCCTGACCATACACAGAACATCTTATTTTGTGTCTGCAAAGCATTCTTGCCTTTTCAGAAATAAAAAAAAGCTTAATATGTCGAAAATGCTCCTTATTTTCTGCCATTTGTAATGCTTAACAAAATTTTAAAAACACAACTTTATTCTCAAGTACTATCTGAGATCCCTTTTGTCAAACAACATCAAAATTTTACATTTGTGAAGGAAATAACACTTCAGTGTTGCATTTTTAGCCAGCTGGTGCTAAAAACGGGACAAACTTTTGCATCAACCCATAGTTTCCAGCTGTTCTGGAACCTCACAAATTTCAGTTGCTCTTAGGCGTGTGCGAGGTAAGCATTGCTTTTTCGAGTGTGCTAAACTTTGTTTTTTAGTTTTGTTATTTATACTGTATATTTAATCAATATGGCACCAAAGAAAGAGAGAAGTGACAGTGGAAATGGAAAATGTTTTAGTGTAGCATTAAAGAAAGAAATTATTGCAAAATACGAGAATGACATTCGTATTTCTGACATCACTAAAGAATATAATGTGGCTAAAGGAGTGAATGTGATATCGAAACAAAGATCTAAAGTTTTAGATGAAGTTGAAAAACTGTTGCTAATAAGGATCAATGAAAAGCAACTTGCTGGAGAAGGTGTTAGTGAAGCAATAATTTGTGAAAAGGCTAAAAATTTATACAATGACTTGTTGACCCAGACACCCAGTACAAGTGCAGACAGGCAGGACTTTAAAGCGAGCTGAGGTAGTTTGATAGGTTTTGTTGACGAACTGGCATTCACAGTGTCATAAGACACAGGGAGGCTTCAAGTTCAGATGAAAAAGCAGCAAAAGCATTTGTAGATGAATTCGCAGAGTTTGTAAAAAGTGAAGGATACGTCTGGAATCAAGTGTTTAATTGTGATGAGACCGGTCCTGTTTGGAAGAGAATGCCTAGATGAACATACATAACCCAAGAAGAGAAAGCACTTCCCGGGCACAAGCCCATGAAGGACACTCAAAATCAACCCACTTTTAGTCTACAATGCTGAAAATCTCCGTGCCTTTAAGAGCAAAAATGTCATAAAGTCCAAACTGCCTGTACAATGGAAGGCAAATAGTAAGGCATGGGTAACTCTGACTTTATTCATGGATTGGCTCACAGAAGTGTTTGCTCCTACCATTAAAAATTATCTTCAGGAAATGGATCTTCCACTTAGATGTCTTCTGTTAATGGATAATGCTCCAGCACATCCACCAAATTTGGAGGACGACTTGGATAGTGAACATGACTTCATCAAGGTCAAATTCCTTCCACCCAACACAACTCCATTACTGCAACCAATGGATCAGCAGGAGATTTCCAATTTTAAAAAGCTGTATACCAAAGTGCTGTTTACCCTGTGTTTTCAGGTTACCAATGATACTGACTTAACTCTTAGAGCTTTTTGGAAGGAGCATTTTAACATCCTGCATTGTACGAGGTCTGTTCAAAAAGTATCGGACTTTTATTTTTTCCGCGTAAACCAATGATGCATGGGAGGCCTCTTTCGGTGGAGTTGTGGAGGGGACAGTCATGCACAGCTCTGAATTTTTTCTTGCCTGCAGGAAGCGTCAGTTGTTGGCAGTCGGCCTATGAGTGAGGACATGTAGTGAGCTCTCGTCGGATTCCGCTAAGTTGGAAAATGACTGAACAACGTGAGCAGCGATATTACATCAAATTTTGCCAAAAATCTTGGCGATACCCAAGCGTAAACCATTTGCAAGATTCAGCAGGCTTTCGGGGACAATCCTCGAGGCCAAATAAAGTGCTGCAGGTCCGCAGCAATATCAAGATCATGTTGACAGTTTTTTCGACTCTCGTGGGGTGGTGTATCGTGAGTACGCACCACAAGGCCAAACCATCGCAAAGGAGTACTACCAGGAGGTCCTTCGTCGTCTTTCCGATGCTGTGTGACGCAAACAACCAGATCTGTGGTTGATCAAAACTTGCCATCTCCATCGTGATAATGCATCTGCCCATTCTGTGCATCTGATTCAGGCTTTCATCACAAACACAACACTCCTGTGGTTTGTCATGCTCCGTACTCTCCCCACATGGCTCCGTGTGACTTTTGGCTATTTCCCAAGCTGAAAATGCCACTAAAAGGAACCCGATTTTAGTCGAGAGAAGACATCGTGCGGAATGCGACAGACCGGCTGATGGCCATTCCAAAGGATTCGTTCCAGCAGTGTTTCCAGCAATGGCAGGAATGCTGGGAGAAGTGTATACACTACCAAGGAGACTACTTTGAAGGGGATTAGGGTTTACCTCAAAATCAATAAATGTATTTTTGCCGACCAAAGGTCCGATACTTTTTGAACAGCCCTCATATCAACCTTATTGACAAAGCCTGGAGTGAGGTCTCTCACCACACTTTGCAATCGGCCTGGAGGAAACTTTGGCCAACTTGTGTCCCAGAGCAAAACTTTCAGGAATTTGAAGAAGAGAGCTCTCCTGGTGTAGTGCATGAAATTGTGTCCATTGGCAAGAGTTTGTTGATAGAGGTAGATGATGCAGACGTGGAGGAGTTGCTAAAAGACCATCAAAATGAACTAATGACAGAAGAGCTGGTTGCCATGCAGAAAGAACAGATGAAAGTCTTACAAGAAGAGCATTTGTCAGAGGAAGAGGCTAGGGAAGAAATCACCAGTGCTGAGATCAAGGAAATTTGCAGAAAATGGAATGATGTGCAGGAATTTATCGAGAAGCACCATCCTAACAAAGTTGTGGCTAATAGGGTCATTAATTTAATGAATGACACTGTGCTATCACATTTTAGAAAAATTTTGATTAAGAGAGTAATACAATCAACTTTAGACCACTTTCTTGTTCCTTATCAAAAGAGACCTCGACTCGAAGAAACTCCCGATGCAGTGCTACCCAATATTTTTATGGAGGGGGATTCCTCTTTCAAGCCTTAAGCTCCATAGAAACAAAGGTATGTACAAGTGCTACTTTATTAAATAAAGTTTACATATTTGTTGCTGTAATGATAGATACTACATTTTCTTATATTTTCATCAAAGAAAACGCATTTTACAAATAAAATTACAAAAATACTGACGGCTAGAATGGATTAATTGTATTTGCATTAATTTCTATGGGAAAATTTGCTTCGGTTAACAAAAATTCGTTTAACAAATGGACTCTTGGAACAGATTACGTTCGTTAACCGGGGTTCCATTGTATTTAATTTTTCTTTATTGTAAGAATAATTTGTCCTTCTTAAAGTCCTGAATGAACTTTTTTACATAAATTTTTTGTAATTTTTTTCTTTTTACGTAAACTAAAATTTGAAAGTTAAAGTTTGTACAAAGACAAAATGAACCAAACAGTGATATAGATGTTACCTTTAACATTCGAAGATCATAACTATGTTGCATGCATAATTTTGAATGTTGAAAAAATAATAAATATTAATTTATTTTCAGGCAATGAAGAATATGATTGAAAACTTCAGTAAAATGAACATAATTACAGTTTTTGTTAATTTGAAAGTAAGTGAAATATATTACTTTACATATGCCTAAATATACTGTGTTTTTTATAATACAGTAATACCTCAACTTATGCTACCCCGACTTACGCGAACCCGGAGTTACACGATTTTCAAATCTCGTCGATTCATCTTTTGTTTCAGCACCAAGCAACTCTCGATTACTCAATCCCCTCCACACTATTGTTTGGCTTACATGTTCAGACGTGTCGCGCGGAATCGACACATAGCCACAATTTATTTTGTGTTATTTATTTCTGTGTTTTGTTATATGTACGGAGATTTGAGAGACTCTATGTGGGGATTTCTTGTAACCGCGAATGAATCAAAAGACGAGATAAGATTAACGAGAACATTTATTAGCTTACATACATCCGACTTGGGTTTTACACAAATTGCAAAATTATACCCCGACTTATGCGAATTCGACTTATGCGGTTATCGCTCGGTCCCACCTATCGCGTAAGTTCGGGGTATCACTGTATATTAAAGCTTCTTGTCTTGATTTTATTTAAAGGTATCTCATACATTGTGTACTGGAGATATCAAAGACTTATCACACTTACTGAGGACATCAAAATTACACTTGTATTATTAGAATGCAACATTATTTCTGGTATAATTTTGTTCCTAAGACTCTCTTCAGCCAACAAATAAATGGGTACCTGCTTTAGATCTATACATTAGCATAATACTCATTCATTAAAAACATTTACAGTATTTTCCTAAAGACATAGTTAGATTACAGTAGTTCCTAAAGTCATATTTAATTAGTTCAATTCCAGTTTAATAAATGAATATTATACTAACATGTAGATCTAAAGCAGATATCTACTTATTCATGTATGGCTGAAGAGGGTCTTAAGGACTGAAATGTACACTAGAAATAAAGTTGCATTCTAATGATGGAAGTGTGATTTTGATGTCCTCAGTAAGCGTGATAAGTCTATAATATATTCACTACATATTGTATTTTTTTAATGTGATAAACATGTTTTTTTTTAAATTTTGTACTGGTATTATCAGATTTAAATCATTCATAAACTATTTTAAATTAGTTGAGGTTTAACAATGGCAGCATTATTATTTTTTTTATATCTAACATTTCACTTGATTAGATTTTTTTAACATGTAAATATGAAAACTAAATGAAACACTTTTATATTCTGTTTGTTATACATAATATTTTCCTACTTATAAAAGACACAACTGTTGATGTAAATGTCCTTTTATGGATTTTTGAGTACAGTATAGGCACTATCATTTACATTTCTCATATGTTTTAACATCTATATTATAAATTAAAAATGAGCTGTATATTTTCTGGTTATAAAATGCTATTTTGTGGAAATGATTCAACAGAGAAACACTTCACTTTGTCTGTTTATTGTCAATTATGTACTTTGCAGTATGTAATAACAATAGACATTGAATTATTAACTGATGTACTGTACAAATTGTTTTTGGTGTGCTGAATGCTAATTATAAGTAATTTTATTTATAGATTTATATATCATATTTTGTCTTATGAGTATCTCTCTGCACTTCTTAAGGAAGCATCTCAAACATAAATCCAAGTCAAGTTGCTTTTCTTGGAGCAAATAATTCTGATCAACTGTGAAAAGTGGGTCTAATTTATTCGAAATGATTCAGATTTACTCTTAGGAAAAGCCTGTTTTCTTGCATATTACAGGTTTGGCCAGACCTACAGTAGGAAGAAAAACTGGGTGGTGACAGACTGGCTTGATACTATCTAGATCAGGGGTCTCAAACTCAAATGCAGCAAAGAGCCAATCAAATAGATGTATATCAGACACAGGCTGTATTCAATCATTATTTGGCATATCGAAACACACTGTAATTAAAAAATGGCTCTAACAACAGACCTTTGATTTATGTAAACAGGTAGACTTTGAATTTTTTGTTTTAATCCCTTCAAAATGTTAGAAATATCGATTTTTAGAAAAGAAACCAAGGGCACGGGCCAGATACGAAGCCTTAATGGGCCGTATCCAGCCTACGAGGTGCCAGTTTGCGCCACCTGATCTAGATCAATTAGTTGAAAATTTGAACCGTTCTAGATAGATATAAATCTAAATCCTGAAAGCTAATCCTGAAACCTTAATCCTGAGTGGTAGGCTGATGCATACCACTCAGGATTTAGGTTTCAGGATTAGCTTTCAGGCTTTATGCAAACTATTAAAATTAACAAGAGGGGGGAAGTATTCACTCTGAGAAAAGCAATTTAAATTGGCTTAAGAAAAATTATGCTATTACTCAATTGTAGTTTTTGAATTATATGATACTCCTTAGTCATATCAACTTTAAATATATTTTTGCTTTAATATAATAAACTTTTTTTAATTACAGCAACATGTTATTGATACTATAAAAGGTGCAAATCCTATTGTTTTCTATTACTGCCCATCTGAATCTCATATTGAAGAATTATTTCAAAGTAAGCATTGTTATGTAATTTGTACATATAGCTTATGCATTGTTTTAATCCCTGTCCCCTTAAAAACATATCCTTATACTTTTAGGATGTTGATTTTTGTGTAAATGTCTGCTTTCTCTACCTGCCAATCATTCTTTATTTATTTCTCTTTAGTTTCTAGAGCTTTCTATGCATTTAAGGTAGGCAAAATTTAATAGAAAATTTAGAATTATCGATGAAATTGGATATCTATAATTACATGTTTTTCTCTTACAGGTTATTTAAATCGTAATACAGAATGGGTTCGGGATCTTCCGGTCTCCATAAACCGTCAAGAGTCAGATGGAAAATTGGACCAAGACACTCTGGAGCATCTCTTGGACTCAAATTACTCCTAATAAAAAATTTTCAAATGTTAAAGAAAGATATATGTAATAATTATTGCACAAATAAGTTAAATTTCTTAGAAATGATTAGCTTATGATCAAAGTATGTTGTTATTTATGAAAGTTAATTATAACATTTGAAAAATCTCTTGTATTGTTTAAATCTCAAAATGCACTCGCCTCATTGGCATTGCTCTTTATTAAACAGCTTCACAAGAATCATGTAGTGGCCGTTGCTGCTGATCTAAAGTAATATGAGGTTATTTTACTTGTAGGCAGTTTTATACCCCCAAAAATTGACCATAATACATATACATTATGCATATATTTTTTGCTATCTTATATAGCATGTAATATATATTGTAGTATATATTACGTGCTATATAAATATATAGCACGTAACATATATTGCATATATATTACGTGCTATATATTTTTTGCTATACATGCTGACAACTTGAAATTTGTAGATATTAGTATACAAAATACACTATAGCGTAAAATTCGTTTTGAAATTATAAACTGTCGAAAGTACATTTTAAAAATCTCTTATCAAGATGGGAATGCTGTCGGTATGGTTACACGAGTACAGATTTTATCACTAACACATAACAGTATTAAGTACGCACTGTGCAATTAATCTTTACAACTAAAATGCTTAAATTTCTGTATAAATGTAACAAATTTTGTATTAGAAGATTTAAATAAGTTGTTTTCAACTGGAACAATGTGACACATTAGTATGCTTCAATGACAATTCAGGGTTGCTGTGAAATAGTGCCCAGCCTTATAGTTAATACACATAAAAGTGCAATAACTATATTTGATACAGAAGTATGGGTGCTACAAGAAGAAAATTTGCCAAGTCTGGGAGTGGCACTGTTGGAAAAAGATTGAAAAGCACTGACTTAAGTCAAGTCTGTAAAGTATTTTACACAGTATTTTTAAGGATGGAATTATATATATATATAAGTAATTTATTTTGATGTAAATTAGTAATTTACTGTTGTAGTAATAATTGTTCTAATAAAAAAAACTTCGTATTTTTGTTTAAAACACTAAAATTTTTTTAACACAGTAAAAACCTATATAAATTTTTTATTTTGGAGAATTAAAATAAATTTTATATATATAAAGAGTAATTAAGCATGTTTATATGACTTAGAATCAGTAATTTAAAAAAGAAATTAGATTATAAATCTATCAAATATACATTTAAATTAATTAAAACAATATTTTTTTGGTAATAAATTGAGTTGGCTCGAAGTTATTTTGTTTTAAAAAATCATTAAAACAGTGTTTAAATGCCGCAAGTCGCAGCTCGAAGTATCACTAGGAGAGAGGAGGAAAAACAGATGTGACGCATTATCACGTGAACAATATCGATTCATGTCTCCAGTAATGTCCGACTGGTCTCGTCCAAAACAAATTTTCCAGCTAAAAACCGATATTTATCCAGTTCCTAAACGTTTCTTCGACTGGTTAACATGTCCAAGAATCTATTGCCAGGTATTTATTAACAATAGAATCGAAACTGTTATGTCAAATATCACATTATCCGAGATAATTAGATAATTAATCCCCTCCATCTCCGTACGCCGAAAGGAGTAAAAAGAAAAAGAAAAAAAATGGATGAAAATTTAAGCAGGGGTTATATACAACTCGGACAGGGTTCAAGAGCCGATAGAATTACAAGAGGTCTATCTTACGAACATTCGCATCCACCCGAAGACAGGTGTCATTGCATATATTTTGCATTGCTTCTTGCAGGTGTTGGATTCCTCTTACCCTATAACAGTTTTATAATTGCTGTGGATTATTTTCAAGCCAGATACCCTGGCACCACCATTGTTTTTGATATGAGTCTCATATATATCCTGGTAGCTTTTGCTGCTGTGATTATTAACAATTTGTTTGTGGAGACTTTGACTTTGCAGGTCAGAATTACTTTTGGATACATTCTCTCTTTTGTAACTCTACTATTCATAGCTGTATTCGAAATCTGGTTTGAAATATTTACTTTGGATACTGGATATTATATTAATTTACTCGGTGTTGCTGTAGTTGCTTTTGGTTGTACAGGTAAGTAAAGTCTCTATTTGTTTAATCTTGTTTATATCAAGCTGGCCTTCTACTATAGATTCTGCTCGTTGCATTGATTTTTGACGAGTTAGATTTTTGAAATTGTTTTAATGTCTTTAACGTTATAGACGTGTTAATAAAGGCCTTCCTCTTTAGGGCCCTTCTGAATGATGTATACACCCTCCTTGACAAATTTAAAACTCTAACTTGTCATCAAGTTCTAAGCTTTAATTTATCAATGGGTGGACATTAATCTTTCAAAAATAAACTTTTGAAAGATTAGAAACTGAACTAGGCTGGAAAGGTCACTTGGTCAAGGGCCTTAGGCATAATCAGCTTATGTAAAAATACATTATAAAATTAATGCTGTGATATATAAATGTACACAGTTACATTTTTACATCACTTTCTAATATGGGGTATCCACATTTATGACTAATTCGGGCCCTTTTTTAGAAAAACCTGTTTGAAAATTATAAGAAAACTAGTTCATAAGATAGGCGAAGGATTTAAATTACAGAAATTACATTTAAAGTAATCAAATTATATTAATTATAATTTACACTACGCTTCTAATTAAAGTTTGTAGGCATTTTAACTTGCTAGAGCACCCCTACTTATAGGGGTGCTCTAGCAGATTGTGGAAGTGCCTTACCTGGGTCTCGGGGAGGACAATCCAGAAAAAGAGGGTGTGAGGCCAGTAGCGGGATTTCAAATTTTGGTCCTCCATGGAGACACGACGATAAAGGCCTTCCTGTGAATTTCTGGTCTTTCCGGCCCTTCTTAATGCCGACATTATCCTTCCCATTGTATACTTTGTTCTCCAACCTTTCCCCCCTTCTAACGAGCCTTCGTAAGAAGGGGGAAAAGGTTGGAGAAGGTTTTTCCCCCCTCGTATTTCCTGGCCTTTTGCCGCATCCTTGACAAAATGGGGCACTATTCGACTTGGGCCCCTATGTAATTGCACAGTGTCTGCATCTAAAGCAGCTCCGCCATTGTCAGGTCCTTTCCAGGAAAATTTTAACCGTTCTAAAATAATCGGTTAATCGAATTTCTGGCCACCCTATATATATATATTTCATACATTAACTCTTTTCACTGAACAATTTTTCTTTACAAAATGACGGTTGAAAAATGTGAACTTGGGCACATAAATCCTCATAAAATTCGACTGGATCCATCTCAATATTTGGAACTAACCCAAAAGTAGAAGGCCAGCTCTGTTTATGAGGTAAAATGACATTTGATATACATGATATGGCTTTTCTTTTTTATAGTACAGCAATCGAGTTTTTATGGCTACACCAGCATGCTGCCATCACGTTATACGCAATCTGTAATGACAGGAGAAAGTAAGTTGTTTCCCAACCTCCTTGGAGTGATCATACATTTTGCATTATTCGGGGAGACGCGAGCTACCGGTTGAGGGATGCGGATTTAGTAATATTGATGCTTTTCTTATTGCTTTTTATTTTCTAGGTGCCGCGGGTTTATTGATATCAACCAATAGAATATTAACCAAAGCGCTTCTTGACGATGAGAAGGTCAACACAGTTTTGTTCTTCTGCATATCTATAGGGATTGTTATATTGTGTTTTATTATCCATTTTGTCCTCCAGAAAACAAAATTTGTAAGGTTTTATATAAGTTTATGTTCGAATGCCAGCTTATCCGACGATCTCAGCAAGCGTATATCACTAGAACCAACTGAAGATGTCGGACTCGTAAGTATTTATCTCCGCGCGTCGCGTCGCGAGAAGTCGCGCTAGGCGACGCGTCAAGTCTTTTCTTTTAATATTTCGCCTTTATAAAAATATTTATATAAGCGCACATTAAAAGAATGCATTACTTAATTAGCATTTAATAATCCATTCTATTAATTTTAATTATAAAATATCGATTTAAAAAGTAATAAAATAAAATACTGTTTCGACGAGCGCTTACGACGCGATTCATTAATTATTTGTTTTTTAAAAAATATATTTAGCTTGTTGAATTAATTATTATTTTTATTAAATTATGATTAATTATAGGATTATTTTTCTTTATTATTTTCCTTATTCATTCAGTATATTGTAAGTTATCAATTTATCATATTAGGTAGAGTCGCATCGCGAACTGTTGCAGCGTCATTAAATATTGATTTTTATGTAAGAAATTATTTTTATATTACTGAGTTTAGCAATTTTTCATATTACCAAAGATTAAGTAATTTAATAATAAATATTCTTTACAGTAATTATCTGTTGATAAAAATACTTTTGCGTGATGCCACGCCACGCGAAACGAGGCGATTTGTTAGGCTATATTTGGGCTACAAATTTAAGTATATAATTTTAAAGTGGCGATTGGGTCGCCGTCTTGTGTTAATAATTAAAAATCCAAAATTTTTATTTAAATTAATTTTTTTTTCTCATATTATTCCAAATTACTTAATTTAAATTTTTAATAATAATAATTAGAAATTCAATAAAAAATTATTATTAATACAAAATATAGAGTTAATTAAATATTAACTGTAACATTTAGCTAGAGTAGCCCAAATGTAGCCTAACAAATTAGCTATTTGATTTAGTATTTATTTTATGATTAAAAAATAATATTGCTTTATATTTATTGAATTTTCTTGTATATAAAGTAAAATTTTTCTTTGTTTTTTAAACAAATTTAAAGGTTGATATGCTAGATCCAGTAGAATCAAAAAGCGGTAAATACGGGGTTCTGTCACTGAGAACCCCGCCATCTTCTCCTCCAGCTGATTCTGCATTTGAATCGACAGAAAAACTCGATCAAGATGTAAATGAAGAAGCAGATTTGTGGAGAATGTCTACAGAATCCGTTTTCAATTCGTTCGCAGCGAACAGTAAAACTTATCGAGTGCAAGACGTAGTCGTTAGAATGAGAGGAATTAATTATACAAAAAATATACAGATGTGGAGCGGAATTAAGAGTATAAAAATCATTTTAATTAATTTATTTTTTTTCAATTAAAACTTTTACATTTTTAATTAAAAGCATTTCAGATACATTCTTTCTAGAAGAAAGAATGAATTTGAATCAATTAGCCAATCAGAACTTAGCGTTTGAAATTTTAAAAATGAATTAATTGTTACGTAACAATTACTTTTTTTTTTTATTTGTAAACAGGAGGAGTAATTGTACGATGGCAAGTTGCCAAATGTGTCTGGCCTTATATGCTCTGTATTGCATTAGCATACTTTGTCACCTTATGTTTATTTCCCGGTATCGAAAGCGAAATTGTCAGTTGCCGCCTTCGATCGTGGATGCCTGTCATACTAATGGCTATATTTAATTTTTTCGACTTTATAGGAAAGGTAAGTTTATTTTTGTTTAAATTATTAAATTATTTATTAATTTTATTATCCTTCCCATTGTATACTTTGTTCTCCAACCTTTCCCCCCTTCTAACGAGCCTTCGTAAGAAGGGGGAAAAGGTTGGAGAAGGTTTTCCCCCTCGTATTTCCTGGCCTTTTGCCGCATCCTTGACAAAATGGGGCACTATTCGACTTGGGCCCCTATGTAATTGCACAGTGTCTGCATCTAAAGCAGCTCCGCCATTGTCAGGTCCTTTCCAGGAAAATTTTAACCGTTCTAAAATAATCGGTTAATCGAATTTCTGGCCACCCTATATATATATATTTCATACATTAACTCTTTTCACTGAACAATTTTTCTTTACAAAATGACGGTTGAAAAATGTGAACTTGGGCACATAAATCCTCATAAAATTCGACTGGATCCATCTCAATATTTGGAACTAACCCAAAAGTAGAAGGCCAGCTCTGTTTATGAGGTAAAATGACATTTGATATACATGATATGGCTTTTCTTTTTTATAGTACAGCAATCGAGTTTTTATGGCTACACCAGCATGCTGCCATCACGTTATACGCAATCTGTAATGACAGGAGAAAGTAAGTTGTTTCCCAACCTCCTTGGAGTGATCATACATTTTGCATTATTCGGGGAGACGCGAGCTACCGGTTGAGGGATGCGGATTTAGTAATATTGATGCTTTTCTTATTGCTTTTTATTTTCTAGGTGCCGCGGGTTTATTGATATCAACCAATAGAATATTAACCAAAGCGCTTCTTGACGATGAGAAGGTCAACACAGTTTTGTTCTTCTGCATATCTATAGGGATTGTTATATTGTGTTTTATTATCCATTTTGTCCTCCAGAAAACAAAATTTGTAAGGTTTTATATAAGTTTATGTTCGAATGCCAGCTTATCCGACGATCTCAGCAAGCGTATATCACTAGAACCAACTGAAGATGTCGGACTCGTAAGTATTTATCTCCGCGCGTCGCGTCGCGAGAAGTCGCGCTAGGCGACGCGTCAAGTCTTTTCTTTTAATATTTCGCCTTTATAAAAATATTTATATAAGCGCACATTAAAAGAATGCATTACTTAATTAGCATTTAATAATCCATTCTATTAATTTTAATTATAAAATATCGATTTAAAAAGTAATAAAATAAAATACTGTTTCGACGAGCGCTTACGACGCGATTCATTAATTATTTGTTTTTTAAAAAATATATTTAGCTTGTTGAATTAATTATTATTTTTATTAAATTATGATTAATTATAGGATTATTTTTCTTTATTATTTTCCTTATTCATTCAGTATATTGTAAGTTATCAATTTATCATATTAGGTAGAGTCGCATCGCGAACTGTTGCAGCGTCATTAAATATTGATTTTTATGTAAGAAATTATTTTTATATTACTGAGTTTAGCAATTTTTCATATTACCAAAGATTAAGTAATTTAATAATAAATATTCTTTACAGTAATTATCTGTTGATAAAAATACTTTTGCGTGATGCCACGCGAAACGAGGCGATTTGTTAGGCTATATTTGGGCTACAAATTTAAGTATATAATTTTAAAGTGGCGATTGGGTCGCCGTCTTGTGTTAATAATTAAAAATCCAAAATTTTTATTTAAATTAATTTTTTTTTCTCATATTATTCCAAATTACTTAATTTAAATTTTTAATAATAATAATTANATCATTGATTTTTCCGTTTTATCTGAATTACATGTTGTACGAGTCACTTAGATTTTACAAATATGTGAGCCGTTCACAGCCCGGCACACGTATTTGTAAAATCTAAGTGACTCGTACAACATGTAATTCAGATAAAACGGAAAAATCAATGATCTTATAGGGGGGTCGACTGTATACATATACATAGTCTCCTGCTCTCTATAGAGAAGAATGACAGTTGCCTGGGATTCTTAACTCTTTCTGCTCTGTGGGTACTAAGAGAGTCTCTTTTAGCAAGCCCATTATTGATTCGGCCATGCCCACAATAGTTAGAAGTGTATGATATGTTATAAAAATAAATATCATCAAGAACATAATTTTTATTACTGTCTTCATATATCAAATGTTATAAAATGGAGGACACTTTTGACATGTTTTAAATTAGTTTCCAGGAAGTTTCTGACATTTAAAATATTTGATTGAGTTATTTTAACAGATGGAAACATTGTTTAGAGTAGTATCAGTTTTTTTTTTTTTTTTTGCTCCTTTCCCTATGGGTACTGACATGGCCTTTAAAATACCTTTATTCTAATATGCTACAATTTAATTTACAACAAATTGTTAATATCTTTCACACATTATTTCACATATTGACTAGAGTGAGGCACGTATAAACTACACATAAAAATATTCAGAAAGGAAGCTTCAACCTGGTCTTCACAACACTTCAGGGATTTCCAGCTTCTAGGTATGTGTCAACAATCTCCGATACCCAATAATTTGTTTACATTTGAAATAAATGATTGGGTATCGGATGTGGTCACATTGCAAAGTGAGCCAATGGAGTGCCATCTTCAAAAACAGGTAGAAAACAACTTGATATACAGTTTAATTAAATTAAAAATAATAATTTTACTTTTGCTCTGAAATTTTATGTGGCAAAATAAGAAATAACTTTACTATTTATTTATTTCTTATTTTCCCACATTTTTTCCTTTTATCTCGACAAGTAGTAACACGTTGAAGTATTTCTACGTGATGTATTATATATTTTTATATTAAATTCCTCACAAATAACATGAAGCAAGTACATTTCTAGTCAACATACAAGAAAAAAAGAATATTAGATGAACCATTCAACGACTTTAATCTTTTACTTCTTCATACTTTTTTGATTTCGGGAGCATTTTTCCGACTCCATTCGACTTTCGACGTGTCACCTTTCATCAATATTTTTTTTATTATTTTCTTTTATGGATTTATTTCAGCTGACACTATTGAATCTCTCCATCGCTTCTCCTTCTGTTTTTCAATATTCATCCCTTCTTTGGTTTCTGAGACATTGGTAAAATGTAAGATGTATTTCTTTACCTATTCTTTAATCAAACTTATTACCAAACACGCAGTATTCGCTACTTAAATCGATAAATTTTTAGACTATTTTAGATACAGAATTCAAAGCTTTAAAATCACTTTATCTACTGCTTATTTTAGTCCATTTTCAAGCAAAATGGCAGCCATTTTGAAAGGCGTGTCATACAGCGTGACATCTGTTTATCTCTATAAAATGATGTATATTATGAAAGTGTTCTGCTTTTTAATTGGCATTCATACACCAGAATTTAAAACTGTCGTGGTATCATTTTATAATGAATAATACTAAAGCGTGATTGACAGAGGAACTGTACTTTCTAGATACCTTTTTTCTAAAACCATAAATTTGATTGCTTTAATTTCTTTACAATTTGATTATTGAATATGTTTCTAAATAAATATATTCTGGAACTAATTGTTTACCTTTTCTTATTTAAAAAAAAAAAAAGATTTTAGCTTCCATACCATACGATTGGACAAAAGCCAAATTGGTATTATTTTCATCCGTCAGAATTGTGCTTGTTCCGCTTTTAGCCATGTGTGCGGCTCCGAGAGGTGATCCTTTATTGAAAAACGAAGAATGGGCCATGGTTCTGTCACTCTTTTTAGGTCTTTCTAATGGAGTTTTCGGTTCTGTACCCATGATTGTCGCACCTTCGATGGTGCCTGACGAACAAAAAGAATTAACAGGTAAGAGCTTATAATTTTTCTATCTAAATACAAACGTAGTTATTGTAATACAGGTAACCCCCGTATAACACGGCACTTCTATAGCACGGATTCACTCTAACACGGTTCGAGAATTGGTACCACCCCCCGTATAACACGGTACTTTTATAGCACGGATTCACTCTGACACGGTTCGAGAATTGGGTAAAACCCTCGTACAACAGGAAATGTAATAAATTTTTACATACTTAAGTAATAATAGTTCACGAAAATTATTATTTTCGTGAACTATTAGTACTTAAGTATGTAAATTTTCTCTTCTCGCCTTCTGTCGATACACGTGGTCCTTCTCGAAACTTGTTTCAATGTTGCCAGATCGCGACGCTTCTGCTTCTGATGTTGCCGAATGTTTTTCCCTTATTCCATACTTGCTTTATTCTTCATAAGTGCTTAGCACCATATAAGGAAATTTATAAAGACCTTTTAACTAGAAGCAAGCAATCTAAAATTACATACATTTTGCAAAAGGTAAAGCATGGATCTGAAGATAATGCAGAAAAATGCTCAGAGGATAAGGATAACTTGCCAAAAAGAAAACGCTCTCGGTTAATTAATAGTGTTTTTAGTGATGACGAAGAAAACATTGTTTAATTTATATTAATATGTATCACTTAAAAAAATTTTAATGAAGATATTTATCTTAATTATGAAAATATACTAGCATGTTTTTTAATTTTTGGAACCTAACCCTCCTTTTCGTATTAGTTCTTTGTTTCGTATAACACGGATTCGCATAACACGGCAATTTTTTGGAACGTAACTACCGTGTTATACGGGGGTTACCTGTATATTAATCATTTGTAAGGTAAACAGGAGGAACACAAAATACATAATGTAAACTACTTGATATGACCATTTCTAAATAGTTGTAGCTATGGCTGGAGGTTTCACAGTATTGCTATAATACTATAGAACCACTAATATTACTATAATGCCAAAAAAATATTATACATATCGATAAATAATTTAATTTTCTTTTTGTTTCATAAATTAGAAAATGGCTGCTTTAGTTTGTTTATATACGACAATGCGACACGTGGGCGATATGCCGAGGGGAATGCCTCTCGAAAGGACTTTTAAGGCCCCTATTTAGGTGTTACAAACGTAAAATAACCCGAAAACTTCACGTGGCCAGTTGGTGAGGCGCGAACTCACCACCAACTCTCAATTTTCAGTGATTTTATTCACCGGTTTGCTGCGGCTTTGGAAGAAACAATTTTGAATTAGAGATATAAATATTTTATTTTGTTCAGAATGATCTATATATATATATATATATATATATATACAATATTTATGAGAAATGAATTTAGTATACTTGATAAATCGATAACAAACATTTGATATGAGTAACAAAATAATAAAGTTGCTTCAAGTGAGGGTTGGCCAGGAGATACTCGATAAGGTCTTAGTTTACACTGGGGGATCCAGGATTGAATTTCTTATTTACAGACGTAACTTATACATAAGTATGTGTAACAGCTAGAGAGCATCGTTCTTAATCCATGTTGGCCAAACTCATAATGGGTTTGATGTAATTGCAACTGAATATAGCCTAAGCATGCTTGTGTGTCTCATCAATGAATTAATGAGTCTTAATCAGAATAAATTAATACGTTACTCACTTATAAACACTTCTATATATATTCGATTGAAGACTTCAAAAATATACTCTGAAAGGTAGAAATTGTGCCACGAACGAGTATATTTCACATACCAGTCGACCCCCCTATAACACTGTTGATAATTCCGTTTTATATGAATTCCGTGTTGTACGAGTCTCTTAGATTTTACAAATACGTGTGCCGGGCTGTGAACGGCTCACATATTTGTAAAATCTAAGTGACTCGTACAACATAGAATTCATATAAAACGGAATAATCAACAGTGTTATAGGGGGTCGACTGTACATAATTTTTTTTAATGAGCAGTTTTCTATGAAAGTTTGCATAATGTTTTATATGCAGAATGTACAGAAATCTGAATATAATATTTAAAAATATAAAATTTAGTACTGTGACTGATTGAAGACCCGAGATATAAATTCAAGGACATGAATTTTGGATACGAACAATCGATGCATTATATCGATTTACTTGTTTTTCTATTCGTCTCTTCTATCAAAACAATGAATGATAGTTTTTGCGTTTTTTTAAAGATAAATTTCAACAGCCATTCTAAATATAAAGTAAATTACAATTTTTTTTTTTTTTCATGCAAGCCTTCTGTTTCGATATTGAAAATCAATAAACATTGAAGTGTTTTGAGATAGATTTTCATTTATTGTTATTGTTTTAAAAGCTTCTTTTGGTTTTTATGGAAACATTTTGGTTGCTCTTAAACATTTGTAGCCATTGGAACTTCTGAATTCCTGACATATAAACAAAAAAATTAATGCATAGATATCACAAAAATAATGTTACAAATAACAAAAATTTCAATAAAACCTTTTTCTATGAGATACAACTTGGCAGTATACCCAATATATAACTATAATAAATTTAAATTTCCCATAGAAAACTAGGTTTCTCTTATGAGAAACTTGGCTGCAGTGTGAAGCATGATAAAGATGTATAAATATTTCATGTTAGAGCTAATAAATTTAATTCTGGCTTGAGTATAAAGAGTTATTTTTGTTTTAAATTATTATTATTATCATAAGAATTCCTCTTGTTCACGTGACAGAAAATATGTAATAAATAATGTATACGTGCTTATTAGAAGAATGTTTTGTAACATTCTACGCTGTTTTCTAATTCACTCCTATTATATGAAGATTTTTTAATGAATTTTATTTATTTTTTTTCCATTCCATTTAGGAAACATAATGACACTGTCTTACACATTAGGACTTACAACAGGTTCTGGCGTTGCCTATTTAATCGATTATATTCTGGGGCCTCCACTGAAGAATCCATGCTCCTCGACAACGCCGTCCATAACGCAGTTGACTTCAACTTTAGCTTCTCTGAACGTCACAGATTTTGCTCACGTGTCCACAACATGGCCATGGAACGTTAGTGGAATCATTGAACTGGGATCACAGAACTCCACTTTATTTTAATAAAATTGATTTAAATCGTTACGTATTTATTCTTTAGATGGGAAAAACTATGTTTAAATTATCATTTGTATATTAAAAAAAACAAGCTGTGACGTCTTTTATGATATCTAATCTGTCCAATGAAACATACAAGAGCACCCATCATCGAGTAAAGTTTGATGGATTGTGAATATGCAAAAAAGAAAAAATAATTAAAAGAGAAGGAGGAGAAAATATATTATTTTTTAATAATAAAAATAAGAATTAAATTATATTATTGCCAAATTAAATTTTTTAAAATAATAATAACATTGCTCAAAATAATTTTATTAAAATTTCTGTTAAGAAATTAAGCTATAGCGCTTAATGTTAATTTTATAATAAAGAAAATTATATATATATATACATACACACATAGATATTAAATTGTGATAATAAATTATTTTATAAAGTAATTGCTAAGAAAATTAACTGTGCTTAGATTTTTGTATAAAATAATTAAATAAATATTTTAATTTGAATCATTTTGAAGTGATTAACTGATGTAGGATGAGTGATACATTATCAAGCACCCTTTAAACTGATTATATTTTTAAATTTATGTTTATTATTAACATAGTTAATTGTCAATTATTTAAAAAAATATATTTAGAATATACAGAAATAAACAGTTAATAAAATAATATCATGTACACAATCTGTACTTGTGTTTTTGTGTATAAACATGTATGAACTTCTGGTGGGCTTCATGTGTTCATATTGTATAGACATTGTTTGGAGAATAATAATAAAAACAAATATATAAAATGGTTGTTTAATTTATTAATATATTTTCTTTATATTTTGATTATTTAAACAATTTATCTACATACAGATTATCCAGGGTAGTTTCAAACTATGGGGACAAATTTCAGAAATGGATTCTAAGCGAGACAATAGAACCACTTTTGTTCTTTAACATATGTTAATAGGTTGAATACCAAGATAGATGTTACTACTGTATTATGAATTGCAAACACAGGATGTAATGTACAGTACAACAATATAATACTGTACTTCAGATAGAGTGACAGTAGATGTTCGAAGTGTCTTCCATAGTTTTCAATGAAAGTGGGCACGTGCATTACGGACTGACACACACTTTTAAATGTTCTAGCTTTTATCTGAACAGCGTTTTTCTCAACATTTGCATTTTAGGAAGTATTTTTCAGATTCCTCACAAGCAAAATTGAAGGGAGTAGAAACCCACCAATTTCCACGTCTGAGTACTCTTCTATGTATCTATTTGCCAGTATTTAGAACCACCTTCCTCAGCAGATGGTTCTAGTATTGGCAAACAGGAACACAAGTGGACCCTTCTAGATGCATGTTAATAGAACCATTTTTATTCTTTGTCCTGCCAGGAATCCATTCCCCACCCTGTATATATATACTGTAATTATTTTTGTTATATAAATAATATTTTATATATTTTAAAAAAAAATTAAAAATGAAAAGCTTTTATAATTTTAAATACAAGAATTTTTCTAGTTTTTTTCTATATACTTTTTTTGTTATCTTCTCCAATTCTTCTTCCTCTCTTCATTATAAAGATAACAAGATCCTAGATTTTTAAAACTTAAGATACAATTCTATTATCTTAAGCTTTGTATGTTTGTTATTTTTAATAGAAGAAAATTTTAAAGAAGACTCTCTTCTAGTTAAAACTGAGATATTTTCTTTGTTTATAAAGCATTAAATTAAAGAAAAAAAAATACAAGTTTAAAAACACATAGAAGAAGCTTACTTATAAAAATGTTGTTGTTAATACTTAAAATATAAATTTTGTAGATAAAAAAATATTCTTAATTACATAAAAAAAGTCTGTTGTACACTCCTAAAAATAGAGTATTGATTTATAATTATTTTAGTGTTTGACACAAGGAAAATACAATAGTACAGACATATTTTCTACACAAGAAAAAACATTTCTTCTGATGTTTTTTTTCTTCATAAAACTTGTATTTTTTATTATCTAAAATTGGAATCAAAGTCAAAAAATGGTAGAAATATTGTTTATTATCTAAAGACAAAAATTCCTCAACTTTATAGAACTGTGTGTATCAGAATTTCATTATTCAGAACTTCTAACTTGGAGGACTTTATATTGATTTTTCTGATGTTTACCATCTACAACACATTATTTCTTCTGAAATTTTAATTCTTAAACTTAAACAAGATTCTTATAAACATGAAAATTCTTTATGATAAAGTGAAAAAAAAAAGAAAGGAAAAGAAGGGGGGGAAAAATTCTTCCTTCAGAAGAAATAAGAATAAATGCATAACTTTAACACTTTTTATTCAAAAATTTAAATATTTTAATGTGTTTTATAGAAAATAATGCTTTTCTTTTTATTGATTTTTCTGTATAAATTATACAGAAAATGTATTCTTATTGCCATTTATTGCCTGCATCCAATTCATTATAAGATGTTCCACTTTGACAGTTTGACTAACATAAAAGCAATTTGATGCTTTCTTCTGTCAACTTTTTATCTATTTTCTTTATATAGCAGAAGAAGGAACTTTTTGTCTTTAAGACTTATGACATGTGATAAATCCATCAGCACATTAAGACCCTGAGGTGAAAACTTTCTAGACTGTGATTTCCATCATTTTCTACATTTATTTTTACAAATTTAAATATTTTATTTATTTAAATATATTTTATTTGGAATTTTTAACATTTTTTTCCACAGTTTAAATTATTTAAAAAATAAAAAAAATAGTAAATAATTCTAGTTGGAATTTTATTCGACAGATGGCGACTCCGATTACTTTGTTATAACACCACCCCGTGGGCGATTTATAAAATATTTATTTTTAAAATTTGGATTGTAACGAGACATTATTATAAATTAATTTACCGACATTATAATTAATAATTTGATATTAAAATAGTATAATATGTACTAAATATTTGACAACAGTAATAAATAATAATAAATTAAAATATTTATTCTGTAATTATTACGACCATTTATGTAATTAAATTTGTTTACTAATGATAATACTTTAATTATATGCTTTGCGTTTTAAAAATGTTAATCAATTAATTGGTTCATTTTAAATTTGAAATTTGAACATGACTACCAATAAAATTCAAATGACATAAAACGCTTTTATCTGATTGGATGGTAAGTATTTTGAATTTTTTAAACAATTTTCTGAAAATTAAAAAATGCTAATTTAAACTAAATGAGATTAAAATTTTAATAAAAAGAATTAGTCGATTGATATTAATTAATTTAATTAAAAAAGAAGCGGTTTATTCAGGATCGATATTCAATAATAACTATATTATGTTCAGTTGTGTACATTTATAATTGCTTTGAACTTATTGAGTATTCATAACGTTTAAAATACACTTTAATAAAACAAATAATGTACATTATTTGTTTTATTAATGTTAATAAAAGAAGCCCGAAATGTTAAGAGGCCCGAAAAACCGGCCGGTTTTTCGGGCCTCAGATCGAGACCACGCGCTCACTTTCAAATTTCCAAGAAAATTTGATACAAGTGGGTCTAATATATTACTAGTTTTAACTTTTTTTTTTTCCGAGACTCCGCAAAATCTCCAATCATCGCTGGATAGGATAATTATAGAAGGTTAGTTATTTAATGATTTATTTCGCTTCCTGTGTTTATAACCCTACAAAAAATAAATAAAAAAAAAGGAAATATTTCCTTTATCCTTCAGAAAATTGTGCTGTTTTTCTGTCTTACTGATGAATATATAAAATTGAACAAATTACTACCAGAGAAAAATAATTACAGCAAATCCCGAAAGATAAAAAAATTAAAAAAAACACACACACAAATGTGTGTGTGTGTATGTCTATCCGTAGAGGGTGTAAAATAACTGTAATTTTCCGATAGGTACAGGTATTATTATTATATTTTTTATAACAAAAATTTTTCTAGTATCTTAATGAATTCTTTATTTTTTTATTATTATTTTTTTATGTAGTAATAACAACTGAGCAATAACACGAGTAAAAGCAAACTTTTATCTTCTGGACGTAATTAACGCTAGTGGAGTGGAGTTTGCAAGAAAATCTTCTATGCAAAAACGACAATTAGACTTATCTACGTGTAATATGTAAGTCTCCGTATACTTTTTTTTTCGCCCTAACTTTTATATCAATATTTTCCTCATAAATCATAACAATTTCTGACATCTAAACGACTTCTAAAATGGCGGAGAAGCATTAAACTGCCAGACACCCCCTAGGGAGCGTCGCCGATACTAAGATGAAACTAAAATGTCACCAGGACGGAAAAGAGTGATATTGCATCTTTTATTTGCAGATTTTTTCCCTCTTTCTTTTGTGTTTTATTCTTTCTTATAACTTATAATCGTATTGGGAAATAAAGGATGTTGTAAATATTACAACTTTTCTTATGTAAAATAATAAATTTACTTTTTCTAGTAGATAAAAACAAAAAAAAATTAACTTAAATTAATGTTTTTGAATATTCATTCGATAATTTTTTTTAAAATTATATCGGTAAATTGATGTAATACGTTATAATAAAATGATCAATGAGCGACGTATTTAACGATATCTATGACTTATGACGTTTCCTGGATATCTGACGTTCGATTACGTAACAATATTTTAAAGACGTCATAACTAATTTGGTTTTTAATTTGAAATAATTTAACTATTTTTATTATTTATAAACTAATTTACTAATTAATAAGTATTTATTTAATTAAAAATAATGTTGTATAAACATAAATAATGTGAATTATCAATAATATAGAATTAATATAATTTCGTATTTTTTTGTTTAATATTGTTAAAAATTAAATTCTAATTATTAAAAAAATAATAAAATAAAATTCTGTACTAATTATATGTGATTATAAAAAAAAACGATAATTAACGATTTAATAATGATTTTAAATTGCAGACGACATTTCAAAATTGCATTCATATCATTTTAAAATTTCAATTAATATTTAATATAAATTATTAAAGTAATTTAAATTGTTTATAGTAATTTATCAGATGTTTTAATTATCGTTACGTATTTCATATTTAAATTTTCAAAGTGACGTCATTTGTTTGCAGATATAAATTTTCTTTCTGTTTAAAGCGTTTAAAGGTTAGCGCTTTGTTCGTTATAAATTATTATCCGTTAATTTAAAATAATTTTAAATTATAAATGAATAAAACTCTAATAACGTATTTCGAATTTTGAAGTTTTAATTAAAATTCTGGTATTGAGATTATAGTTGGGAGCCAGACGATAGCA